GCCATTGAAGCGGAAATCTGAAGGATGTGTAGGAGAGGGGCAGGTGAAGATAGCAGTTGCAGCATGAAGCCTTCCTAACTCTGGGCTTGTCGTGCAGTTCCTTGTTGCCGAGGTCCGCTGGCTTCTGCATTCATCAGTGTGCCACATTTTCCTCCTAGCACTTTGTCTATCTCCTATTGTTCTTCTAATTGTTCCTGATTTTTTTTTTTTTTTTTTGAGTTGGAGTCTCATTCTGTCACCCAGGCTCACAGGCACCACAGCCTCAACCAGCTCAGGTGATCCTTCCATCTCAGCCTTCCAAGTAGCTGGAAGTATAGGCATGCACCACCACACCCAGCTAAATATTTGATTTATTGTAGAGATGAGGTCTTGCCAAGTTGCCCAGGCTGGTCTCGAACCCATGGACTCAGGCAATCCTCTCACCTCAGCCTCCCAAAGTGCTGGGATTATAGGTATGAGCCACTGCACCTGATCTGTTCCTGATTTCTTACGTCTTCCCGATAAAGTAGGAAGCACCAAGTTTGTTGATTTATTTCTTCTGCTTTGTACTTCATAACAAGCTTTTCTAATTTCCTTTCTTCAACCAGTTTTTGTGGACACTGTCAGTGCCCCATAGATAACCCCTTGAAGCTCACCATTCCCTTACATGCCAAAGCTTTTGCCTGCATGTAGATGTAACTCTAGGCTTGAGTGCTTTCTCTGAGCAGGAATGCTAGGAAGTTAATGTTGAGGCTGACAGCAATTGGTAGATTAATACCCCAGCACCCATGCTCTTGGATGGGACAGGTCTGGGACAGGTCTAGATGGTCTTGCTGGAGTTCCCAGAAGAGTTGAGCTCTAGTTGCTCATAGCACTAATCTGCTTATTAGCATACCTTTCCTTTCACGCCTCTCTTCACTCTTCTCAGTGCTTTCTGGCATCACTTTCCAAATAAACTACTTAAAGTCAGATCCTTAGGATCTGCTTCTGGGGAACCCAAGCTTAAACAGAGGACAGATATAGGATTTTGTTAAATCTTACCATGTGTACCTTGGCATAGGTGAAAATTCAGAGTAGAATTGAAAAGAAAAGATTGTTACAAAAAGAAAATGTGCACACTAAATCGGGAAAGGAGAGGAATAGAAGTGAGAAAGAGAGAGTTTGACTCTGCTGTGTTATTTAATCATATGCATCATTTATTATTCCCTGAACAACTTTACAAGATGAATCTTTTTATTCCCATTCCTGCCTAAACAGGGCCTGGTACAGTGTACTTGCTCAGGAAATACTGATACCGGTGCCTTTTAAGTGGGAGTGAGGGGAGAGGATATCACTGGAATTGGTGTACATCAGTCAGAGGTCAAGAGATTAGGAAGACAGTTATTGAACTCATCAAGAAACTGAGACCCAGAGGAATTAAGTAAACTTGCCCAAGTTCACAGACTTGGGGCAACACAGCCAAGATTCCATCAAAGCCATGCTTCTTTCTCAGTCCAATATTTCTCAAACTTGTTGGGAGGCTAAGCACCTGGTGTCAGGATGGTTTTTAATGGATCAAAGTAAAAATCTCAATATTTTAGATTCAAATTAGCTAAGTATGTAATTTTTTTTGCCAAATCAAATACTAGAATCTGATCTAGATATGTAAGGTCTACAAGAGTTGGATTAATGGGGGAAAAAACTAGAATCTCATCTAGATACGTAAGGTCTAAATTAATAGGAGAAAAAAACTTGAGAAAGCCTGTCTTTTAGCATTTCTTCCAAATCAGAGAGCAGGGCAGGAGCCTGGTTTGAGAACCTCTATCCTCACCCCCCACCCCGTTGACTTTGGAGGAACTTTGTGTCAATGACAAAATGGTTGCTACACATTATAAACTCCAACTGCCTCCCAGGTTGCTGTCCACAGCCAGCACTGAGGATCTGCCTTTATCTCTCTACCCTTAAGTTTCAAGGTCTCAGTCAATCCTTTAATATTGTCCCCTATACAGAGGGAGACAAACATTAATTGAGCAGCTGTGTATCTCCTACTTATTCTTCATTAGAGACCACTTTCTCCAGGAAGGCTTCCCTGACCTCTGCCCCATTCCCATGTGCTATACAGTACCCTGAATCCTGTTGTAGCCCATCATGATAGTTATTGGAATTTCTTGTTTATTTGCATCTCTCAAACTCTGAGCAGAATAAGGGTCAGGCCCAAGACTTGTTTAGCTGTCTATCCTTAGCAAGGTGCTAGAACAGACTTCAGTGTTTAGTACATATTTAATGAATATATGAATGAATTAGACTTTGTGCTAGTTCCTGGAAATAAAAAGATTGTTAAAAAAAAATAGTATTCCTGTTTTTAAGAGCTTATAGTCTAGTGGGGATTTAGACAGATGAGTAAGTCATTGATGAAAGTGGCCTGTTCCTGGTGATGTCGTGGGAGACCTTCCATAGGAATTGGGGCTTTAATAGCCATTTGTTTTTAAGTGAATAGCAGTCAGGGGAGGGCACAGTATGTGCTGAGGCATGGAGATCTAACACGGAATGGCTCGTTCTAAGAATTGCAAGCAGATCCAAATGACTAGAGCACATTTTTAGATAACTAACCTGGAAAAACGAGTTTGGCCCTGACATGAACTCTTTGAACTATGTGCTAAGCAATGTGATCTTTAGGCTAAATATTTAGGGGCACTATTGCAGGGTTCTGATTGAGGGAAAGCATGATTGTTTAGAAAGACTGCCCAGGGCAGCAGCTGTGACTGTTTGTCACCCTCCTCAGTAGTCTTTATTGTGTCCTCAAACCTGCCTAAACAGGGCCTGGTACAGTGTACGTGGTCAGGAAATACAGGTGCCTTTTAAGTGAGAGAGAGGGAAGAGACAACACTAGAATTGGCATAGAAGATCAGTCAGAGGTCAAGAAATTAGGAAGGCAAAGTTATTGAACTCATCTAACCATCTTTCATTCCTATGCTCAGGACCCTCTGCTGATTCCTCACCAAATTCAGAGTCAAAACCAAAGGCTATGTCATGACACAGTAAGCCTGCATGACCTAGCCGCTCTCACCTCTCTGATTTCATCTTACCAGCAACACCCCCTTGCTTACTCTGCTCCTCTACACTGGCCTTCTTGCTGTGCCTCAAAACAGACATGCTGTTCCTTGCACCCAGAACACACCCAGATATTCACAGGGCTCACTCCCTCACTTTGTTCAAACCTTTGCTCAATGATAGCTGTCTGAGTAAGGCCTTCCCTGTGACCACTGTGTTCAAACTTATGACACCTATTTCTGACTCTCCATTCTCTTCTTACCCTGCCTAATTTTTCTGCATAGCACTAATCGTATAATTTACTTTTTTTTTTTGAGTTGGAGTCTCACTCTGTCGCCCAGACTGCAGTGCAGTGGCCGCTCCCAGCCACCGCAACCTCGACCTACTGGGCTCCGGCGATCCTTCCGCCTCAGCTTTCCAAGTAGCCGAAATTACAGGCATGTGCTACCACGCCCGGCTGATTTTTTGATTTATTGTAGAGATGAGGTCTTGCTGCCCAGGCGGGTCTCGAACCCGCGGGCTCAGGCAATCCACTCACTTCAGCCTCCCAAAGGCGTGGGATTACAGGCTGAGCCACCGAGCCTGGCAATTTACTTTTTTTTTTTTAACATATGTGATTGTCTGTTCCCCCTCACTAGAATGTAGGCTCTACGAAGGTAAAGTGTTTTGTTTGTCTAGTTTACTGCTGTTTCCCCAACATCTAAAATTATACCTGGCACTGTATTGGAAGCTCAATAAATATTTGTTAAATTAAGAAATGAGGCCAGGCACCATGGCTCACACCTATAAACCTAGTACTTTGAGAGGCCGAGGTGGGAGAATAGCTTAAGGCCAAGAATTTGAGACCAGCCTGGGTAACATAGCCAGACTCTGTGTCTACAAAAAATATATATATTTTTTTGAGTTGGAGTCTCACTCCATCGCCCAGGCTGGAGTGCAGTGGCATGCTCATGGCCAACCCAGCATCGACCTCCTGGGCTTAGGCGATCCTTCCAACTCAGCCTTCCAATTAGCCGGAACCACAGGCGCGTGCTACCAAGCCTGGCTAATTTTTGATTTATTGTAGAGACAAGGTCTTGCCAAGTTGCCCAGACTGTTCTCGAACCCGTGGGCTCAGGCAATCCTCTTACCTTGGCCTCCCAAAGCACTGGGATTATAGGCTTGAGCCACCACACCCAGTCCCCTGCCCCAAAAGAAATTTTTTTTTAAGGAATTTTAGGCCGGCTCAGTGGCTCAGCCTGTAATCTCAGCACTTTGGGAGGCCGAGGCAAGTGGATTGCCTGAGCCCGCGGGTTCGAGACCAGTCTGGGCAACTTGACGAGAACTTATCACTACAATAAATCAAAAATTAGCTGGACGTGGTAGCTCGCACCTGTGGTTCCAGCTACTTGGAAGGCTGAGGCGGAAGGATCGCCAGAGCCCAGCAGGTCGACACAGGGGTGACCATGAGCTTGCCACTGCACTCCAGCCTGGGCAACAGAGTGAGACTCCAAATCAAAAAGGAAGAAAAGAATTTTAGCTGGGCATGGTGGCATGCGTTTATAGTCTCAGCCACTCGGGAGGCTCAGGTGGGAGAATCACTTGAGCCCAAGAGCTTGAGGCTACAGTGACCTTTGTTCATGCCATTGTCTTCCTTAGAGACCAGAAGCATCACAGTGTCTAGACATTGTTATATGACACTTGAGAGGGTAGGGACTTGCTCCGCACCCTGTCCATGTTGTCCTTGCCTCCGATTGGTTGGTTGGAGCTGATGGGAAGAGGGATAAAAATAGTATTCTTGGTTTTCTCATTTGCTGAGAAATGTGGTGCTCTCTTAAGGGTACACAGATGACAGTGGGTTGAACAGAAAAATGATTGTGAGGGTGAGTAGTTTAATGTTAAATTCCCCCTGTAAGGTAAGTGCTATATATCCTTTAAATGCTTGAGAATACTCAGTAGCCTTGATAGGGAACAAGATGGTGATGAGCAAACATTTTTTCCCCCCCTCAAAGGTGTTTCATGGGACTCCCTTCCAGATGAGCTACTCTTGGGAATATTTTCCTGTCTGTGCCTCCCTGATCTGCTAAAGGTCTCTGGTGTTTGTAAGAGGTGGTATCGCCTAGCGTAAGTATTTTTCACCTCTTGGGCATATGTAGGGAGGAAGATAAGGGGAAGGTCATTTATTCATTTTGGTCTGGTGAAACAAAAAACCAAGGAAAATAGAGCAGCACAAAGCAAACTAGGCATCTTCATATTTTTATTAATAATGAGTGTTCTCATAGTAGAAGAGGAATCTCCTGGCAGAGGTAAACATAACCAGTTCTGGAAGCCCCTTTGACCCTGTATTCAGTTTAGCATGTATTGATTGGATGCTGACTCTGGGTCAGGCTGTATATTAAGACCTAAGGGAGTTCTGGTGGTGCACGCGGACAGCTGTTTCTCACACCAATGCCAGTGAGCTGGGCAGTGAGCATCGTGAGCAGAGAGAACATGGGCTCTGGCATTAAACACAAGTGCGAACCCTCCATGTATGATCTGAGCAAGTCACCTGACACTTCAATGCCTCGGTTTCCCCATATGTAAACAGGGATAATGATATTTCCTGTACAGGGCAGTTGTGAGGATAAAATGTAAAGATGGCAGTGCAGTGCCTGACTCACGAACATGTTCAGCACAGGACAACCATGTTGTTTTTGCCTAGTTTTTGGCAACACTTTTCAGGTATGAAAGGTAGAAAGTCTTGGTGAGCTGGGAAGGCAGTAACAAACCCGAGGCAAGAAAAAGTCAGATTTTCAGCTGGAACTTTTACCATCTTCACTCCTCCCCCTCCCCATCTTACCCCCTGGTCATTCTTTGCTTTGTGTTTAAAGGTCAACTGTCTGTCTTCTCTTCCACATATCTGGCATTCCCTCTGTGAGACAGCAGGCACCTCCTGCCTTTAAGGGTGTGCTGGTATTTACAGGAGTGGGCTGTTTACTTAGAAGAGCTGCAGAGAGATTTTGTACACCTGGAATGCTAGTACAAGTGGCAAATGAGTTTCACTTACGCCCACCCAAGGAACTCCATCTTGATTTTCCACTAGCTATATATTTGTCCTCTCCATGCAGAGTCTATTAAGACTATTTTTTTTTTTTTTTTTGAGTTGGAGTCTCACTCTGTCGCCCAGACTGGAGTGCAGTGGCTGCTCCTGGCCACTGCAGCCTCAACCTGCTGGGCTCCGGCGATCCTTCTGCCTCAGCCTTCCGAGTAGCCGGAATTACAGGCATGTGCTACCACGCCCGACTGAATTTTTGTAGAGATGAGGTCTCACTGCCCAGGCGGGTCTCGAACCCGCGGACTCAGGCAATCCACTCACCTCAGCCTCCCAAAGGCGCGGGATTACAAGCTGAGCCACCGAGCCCGGCTAAGACTATTTTTACATTCTATTTTATATATTTAAGGTGCAAACATGTTTTGATACACATAACTGAAATGGTTACTCTAATCAAGCAAATTCACATCAATTATCTCACACGGGTATCCATTTTTTTTGTGGCAAAAACACCTAAAATCTACTCTCTTAACTAAAATTCGGAATGCACTACAATGTTATTAACTATAGATTTCATGTTGTGCATTACACCTTGAGAGTTGTTCATTCTTCATATCTGTTGTTTGCATCCTTTGACCTGTATCTCTCCCAAAGTCCATTAATCCTCAGCTCAGTTGTCATAAAAGTAACAACTGACATTTATTAAGCACTTACTAAGTACCAGGCATAGTGCTTGCAATTTAATCCTGTGACCCTAAATTTAATTTTATGACCCTAAATTATGGTGTTTTCATCAACACAGTTTTAGAGACGAGGAAAGTACAAGGTCAGGAACAGTAGGTTGAGAGATGTGTAAAGCAAGAGTCTAAGGTCTAGCTAACTCCTCAGCCTCAACTGTAACACCACGTCCAGTTATATTTGGCTTAGTGTTTAGGTAGCTCCTAAATTCATCTTTCTATAATGTATTCTTCATCCTGAAGATGTATGTTACTTGGGAAGAGAATGAACGTTCCACAACTTCCCAGGTTGTTATAAAATGCTGGTTAAGCTATAGTTTACCTCCTTTCAAGAAGAAACATCAGACTTGAGATTGAGACAACCTAAGCAGTGCTGATCTGGTGTCAATTCCTTAGAGGCCAAAGTGGATTTTATTCTGGGCAAGACAAAGATACAAAAGCATTTCACTCTCTTAAGGATATCTTTAATAATAGGGGTCAAATCACACTGACAATTTCCTTATGACAAATGGTCATTAAAATGGTCATTCATTTTAAATGGTTGAATGACCATTTTTAATCATTTCCACTTATTTCAAGCACTATTAAAAAAAGAAAATTCTAGTACAACCAAGCATTTATAATGTTCCTTCATGTGCTTGTATTTCATGGATTCTTTAAAAAAATTTTTCTTTTCAACTGTAGATATTAAAACTCCCTTATTGTGCTATTGAGTACATTTTTGGAATCTCCCTTTTGCTTTAGAAACACTATCCATAATCTAATATTTTTCCCTTTTCCTTTCACAGTAGTTCATACACACACACACACACACACACACACACACACACACATATACATATATAATACAGGTATATATACTGTAGACACATACACACATGCATGTATGTATTTTAAGTTTAAAAAGTATTATAAAGCACAGCTGAACTATGCTAGATACCTAGTAGGTATCTATGACAGCCATATCTCATAATAAAATAGTGCTGACTTTTCTTCCTTTAGTAATATTTACATGTTCCATTAATTGTGATAACCTGTCTGTGCTTAAAAGCAAGTGGGATCTTTTAAGAATTTTTGAACTGACTTACCTAGTAATAATCAGTTAAACAATTTGAATGACCATTTTTAAGCTTGTCAAACTGGATTGAATGCTAGAATATTATTCTCTGGTTCTAGATTCATGACAGTGCTAATGTTAGCATTGAACCATCTCAGTTGGAAATATGTAGAAAAAGAAAGATGGAAACTTGTCTCTGATATGATCAAGGAATAGTCATAGTGCCTTAAAAAGATTGTAGCTCACTGTATAGTCAGCTTAAAACTGAAGGTTCCTTCACAATTTACTTCAAGGGGATTCAGCAGTTGTGTCCTTATAAGTAACATTGTTGAGGGCCGGCCTCCAACATTCAATGTGACCAACTAACCAAATCAAGCACCTCCTCTTTTCTAGGTTTGATGAATCTCTGTGGCAAACCTTAGACCTCACAGGTAAAAATCTGCAACCAGAGGTGATTGGTCGTTTGCTGTCTCTAGGGGTGATTGCCTTCCGCTGCCCACGATCATTTGTGGACCAACCATTGGTTGAACATTTCAGGTAAAAAAGAAAAACCTCTGGAAAAGACTATATCTAGATTTTGAAGTAGAAACAGATCAAACTCCTTTTTTTTCTTTAGCCAGTCTTACAACCTGTCATAGGTCATCTGTGCAGTGTGGGGTTGTTAATTGCATATTTTGCTTTGTGGCCTTTGCATTGAAACATGTTTCAATGAAACATGAAACAGGTTTCAATGACACCATTCTCATTTAACTCAGGGATGCTGCTGGACTCTTCCTATGGTTAAAGTTGCACATTTAGCTTCTCAAGTCCAGTCCTCAGCAGATGGCGATCGTGTGTCCCACAGTGTCCATGACTGATAAATAAAAAAACGTGAGGACTCTCTTCAGATTTGTAGCTTGGAGTTTCTGATCCTATCGTGGACAAATTTGCAACCTGAAAAGCAATGTCCTGATTTTGTTTCTCTTGTAGGATATTTTGAAAAATATTTATCTGTTACTGATAATTTTGTAATGCTGGGTTTTGGTGCTGTCTCATACTTGAGTAGAATAAGTAGATCCTACACCAAAAAACAAGCCAAAGATAGCAGAGCGAAGGACAAAACGTATCTCTTGACTCTAGTACTTTTCCCTTTCTTCTGATAGTCAGAATCATCTCTCTTGCTGCTTTTTATCCTGCTCCTTCTGTGAGAAGGCTGTTCCTCCTCATTCTCCTTCACAAGTGAAATTTCCTTTGTTCACTCTGGTGTCTGTTCCCAGCATCCTTCTCTTCTAAATCCACTTGCTGTTCTTAGTCAAGCTGTGTCCTGTATACCCTCATTTATGCCCAGGACTCTCCATTTCTTATCTTTAGCTCCACCCAAATTCTAATTGCTTAAAAATTTTTGCACCTGAATTTCTTCCAAGTACTTCAACATTAGCATATCTAAAGTTGAACTTGGCCTCCCTTTAAGACTTGCTCTTCCACTCTCCTTCCTGTATTAGTAAATACCACTGCCGCTCACCCACTCACTGCCATGAGAAACCAGGAGTCATTATATAGGCTTAATCTCCTTGTCGCCCACATCCAGCTCATTCTTGTGATGCCCACTCATTAATTTTCTAAGGCTATATTCACAGCAATATCAGTACTTGGCAAAAATCCTCTTGAATTTTAAAATGAATGAGGATGGGAATAAACTAGTAGTAAATTTTAATAGTCAAAACTATAGTTAATGCTTGAGATATGTATTTAGGGTCTTGTTTGTGATTGGCTGCTCATTTGGGAAGAAGATGGGGTCTGATTTGGTCTGGATATACCTGTGAGAGCCACCCTACGGAGCCTCTTTTTTTTCTTCTGTGTTTAGTGCTTTTCGTGTACAGCACATGGACCTGTCAAACTCAGTTATAGATGTGTCTACCCTCCATGACATTCTGTCTCAGTGCTCCAAGTTGCAGAATCTCAGTCTGGAAGGCCTGCGACTTTCGGATTCCATTGTCAAGTGAGTGGCAGCCAGAGTTTGTCACAAAGGCAATTGGTTTTGTTTTGTTTTAATATTTTTGTAGAGACAGAGTCTCACTGTGTTATGCAGGTTAGTCTCGAACTCCTGGCCTTAAGCAATCCTCCTGCCTCAGCCTTCCAAAATACTGAGATTATAAATGCCTGGCCGGCAATTGTTTTTATGTGTGTGAATTTTGTTCCCTATATAGAACTGGAACATGTTAGCCATATCCAGATGGACACAAAAAATAATCTAGTAGAGTGGACCAGCTTCTACAGTACTTTTCAGGATTCATCAAAGCAACAAAAGCTTGAATGCTGACTTTATGCCAGGCCTTTTGCTAGGTTCTAGAGATACAAAGATAATCATGCTTGGTCCCTGACTCATTCATGAGAGAGACAGATAATTACCATGTGCGTGTTTATCAAATGCATTGGTGATTATGTAACAAAACACACACCAGGAGATCTAATTATTAAATTTAGGAAGGACTGCCTTCTCAGAGGAAGTGACTCTTAAACTGAATATTGAAGATATTCATGAAGGAGATCCCTAGGTGATAGGACAAAGGAAGCAGTCTAAGTAAAACTGCCTGTGTAGTTCTAAACTCTTAAGTAGTTTGAAGTTGCTGGAGCATAGGACTTAGGGTAGGGAGTGACAGGAGGTGAGGCGAGTCAGGGACCAGATTATAATGGGCCTCTGTGCCACACGGTAAGAAGTCTGGACTCTCTGGTAAGCTATGAAAAGGGACACGAGGTGGAGAGATTGGCCTTAAGAAGGGAAGGAGGCCGGGCTCGGTGGCTCAGCCTGTAACGCCGCGCTTTGGGAGGCTGAGGTGAGTGAATTGACTGAGCCCAGGGTTTCGAGACCTGCCTGCGCAACTTGGCGAGACCTCATCTCTACAATAAATTAAAAAATTAGCCGGGCGTGGTAGTGTCCGCCTGTAGTTCCAGTTACTTGGAAGGCTGAGGCGGAAGGATCGCCGGAGCCCAGCAGGTTGAGGCTGTGGTGGTCGGGAGCGGCCACTGCACTCCAATCTGGGCGACAGAGTGAGACTCCAATTCAAAAAAAAAAAGAAGGGAAGAAGCATGTCAGAGTTGAAATTTAGCAAATTAACTCATTAGGTACCACGGGGGGTCAACCAGACATGGAAGAAAATGGAGTAGTTAGGATATGGTATTTTCATTCAGATGAGAAAGGATTAAACCTAGTATAACATGATAATAATAGCAGCTAACATTTTTTGAGCACTTATTATGTGCCAGATAGTAAGTTTTTTTATGTATTCTCATTTAATTCTGACAGCAACCTTATGAAGTATGTTCATATTGTTTCCTTTTTATAATTGTGGAAACTGAGACACAGGCTGAAAATCTTGTCCAAGGTCACACAGTTAGTAGGGGACCAAACAAAGATTTAAACCTGGCAATATAATAGTCTAGGATTCTTACTGTTAATCACTAAATTTCAGTAATGCAAGGCATTTGGGAGTGTTCATCTACAAACTAATTCCAATTATGGTGAAATGGATAAATGTTTACTCCATTGCCATTTTTTAGTTGACAAAGTATCTTAATTGATGATTCTTGTGTATTTACTCTGTGTTAAGTCCTTTATTACATTATATCATTTAGTCTTAATAACTCAATCAAGAAAGTATTGATAATACCATTTCACACATCAGTAACCTAAGGCAAAGAAAGCACCCTGCTTGATGTCTCAGAGACAGAGTGATATGTGAATTTTAAACTCACTTCTGCCTTGAAGCTTTGTGCACTTAACTACACTCACCTAATTTCATTCAAATGTTTTTTGAGGAATAAGAGCATCTTATTGGTCTTATGTCTCTGGCATTTTTCTCTTTTTCCAGTAATCTTGCGCAGAACTCAAATTTAGTGCGACTAAACCTTTGTGGGTGTTCTGGATTCTCTGAATCTGCTCTGAAGACTTTGCTAAGTAGCTGTTTCAGGTAGGAAAGGCTTGAGACTTGATTATAGACTCTTGTATCAAACATGCCAACTATCCCTCATGTCTGAATAGAAATGGATAAACTTTTTGAGCTATTCCTAACTCTCCAGGCTCTTGATTTAAATAATGCAATAGCCGTTGCTCTCCAAACTTTCTGTCTAAACTCAGGAGCCAAATTGATTTTCAGGGGATACTGTATACTGATTCCTTTTTTTGTTCATTTGTTGCAATTAAAATAAGAAAAGTGTGGTAATGCTTATCAGTAGTATGGTTGAAAGAAACCTGTTTACATCTGACCATACAGTTCAGTTTTTTTCTTCTGTGGTATTTGTACCTAACTTACAATTTTTGATCAAATTTGGTGCATTGTAAATTTCCATCAACATTTCTTATAATAATGTCAGCACATAAAGTGTATAAAGGTACAGATATTACTAAGTGAAGCAATACATGGTATATAGAATACTCAGTACTGTGTGTATGCAGTTTTTGTTTTTGTTTTTAAATATTCCTTGGTCTCTGTGGTACAGCATTTGTGCCTTAGTCAGCAGTGCCAGGAAGTAGAGACTAGGATTTAATCATTAGACATGATCTCTGAAACCCTCATTTACTCAGTTAGCAGAGACACAATAAGATGAAGTGGCTTTGCAATGTCAGCATCTCTTTATTAGAAATCTCCAGTGCAATCCATCAGTTTTTTATAACGTCTTGAATGATTGTTCAGTGTGTTTGGTTGTTGGTGGTTTGAGAAAGAAAACACAAAGGCTAGAATTTCTACCTTCAGTGGTGGAATGACATTTGAACCATCAAGAATGTGCTCCCTTCCATTTCCAGAAGAAGGCAGCATTTACCAAGGCCTTTGCTCTGATCCCTTGGCAACTTTCGGGGGCAAACGGGACAGGTGCAGGTGAGCAAAGGTAGCTCCTGCTAGAAAAGTGGGTGTCCTGTGCAAAAAATGGTAAGGAATAAAGGGGTTTGTGTTTTCTTTATTTGCAGCTTGGAGCAAACTCATTCCTGTGTGACGGTTTTGTACCTTTTTATTACCTCTCATTTTTGCAGACTGGATGAGCTGAACCTCTCTTGGTGTTTTGACTTCACTGAAAAGCATGTGCAAGTGGCTGTCGCACATATATCAGAGACCATTACCCAGCTGAATCTTAGTGGCTACCGGAAGAATCTCCAGAAATCAGGTTAGAACTTCTGAGCCTGAGACACTGAGGCTTTAACAACAATAATGGATTGGATGTGTAGAACTTCTTCTGAATACTCTTCTACATAAGTTGTCTCATTTAATCCAGTGCATGTGTTATTCTTTTTCAGATGAGGTAGCTACTGATTAGAAGGGTTAAGTAAACAGCTGGTGAGCTAGAGTTAACATCTGAATCCAGGATCTAGCAGTAGAAACCCTTTTACTTGAAAACAATTTATTTTTAACCAGAAGAACTTCTTTTATTCAACTAAATTATTAGGTAAAACCCCAGCATAAAAATAGATAAATGCAATATTTGACTAAGTAGTATTTCTCAGTTGGAGGGAATTTTGCCCACAACAGGATATTAGACAATGTCTGGAGACATTTTTGATTGTTACAGGTGCAAGGGTGCTTCTGGCCTCCAGTGGGCAGAAACCAGGAATGCTGCTAGACAATGTATAGGACAGCAGAATAGCACACAGAAAGTAATCTCATCCAAAGTTTAGTAGCACCAAGGTTGAAAAACTCTGTTGTAAATACACTGTCAATAAGATCATATTTATATTTACTTTTTAATTCTAAGAGGGCAGTGAGGTTGTTTAGATGAACACAGGCATTTGAAGTCAGGAGCAGTAGGTAACAGTTGCAGTCTTTATAAACCTTAACATTCAGTCATGCTTTATTTTGTTTGTTTAATATTGAGAAAAGTCTTGGTTTGCAAGATAAGTAATTGCAAATGGCAAGGTTTTTTAATGGCTTCACCTTGCCGTCTCAGGCTATCATTCAGTTTCTGAGCTGCATAAAACCTAGTTAAATTAGAAATGCACACCAACCATATCTCAATATCATCACAACTGGACTAGCTCATTTGAGTGAATTTTGTTTATTATAGTTTTTGTTATGCTGAAAAAGATTTGAATCAAACATTTACAGAATACATCTTTAAAAACTACTTCACAACATGAAGTATTTTCTGGTAAGTGTGTTATATCAAAATAGAAAAATAATAGCTAGACTTTCATGAGTGAGTCGGTATAAGCGTCTTTTGCCTGTGCAAGGACTCAAATTTGGAATGCTGCTATTCCAAATGCTTGCATTTTCAGACAAGAAGAACATTTTCTTTAGAAATCTGTGAAAGTACCCATCATATCTTTATTTCTTAGCACTCTCCCCTCCCAGTATTTCTGTTTGACATTTTTCCCCTTTAATCTGAGTATAGTTTTGAATAGTCATTCTCAAGAATATGTAAAATATAGAGAAACACAAAGGGGCACAACTCACCAGTAATCTAACATCTTTTTCCTGTTCTAAAATGTTTTGTAGTGTGGAACATAGTGTATTAAATACTTTGAATACTTCGTAAATACTTTCTTTTTTCTAGATAACCCCATTTTCAGTGTCTACATCACTAGTGGCTATGTGATAGTCCATCAAATAGATATGGAATAATTTACATTAAATCAATAATAATTGATATCGTTTATTTCCTTCTAATGGACAGTTAGAATATTTTCAGTTTTTTCGTTTTCTAAAGAGACACATCTTTCAGTGATTTCTAAGGATGGATTCTAAAAAGTGGAGTTGTGGAATCAAGGATTGAGTGCCATTCTCAAGCTTTGTATAGTTTTTGCCAAATTGCCTTCTGAGGAGTTTAAACTTCTACTCATGAGCATACTCTTTGTCAACTTCCATCACTCTTGGACCCCACCACTCTTGATCTGCAAGGGAAGGAAAGGCAGTGCCCTGTTTACATTTTTTCCCAAATCTGGATCTCCCACAACTTTGTTGAAAGTTTTTCTGAAATGAATGGAGGCTCTGGGTACAAGGTTGAAAAACTGCTGTAGGCAAACTGCTACTAATTTTGTCCCAGTTTGGCTTAAGACTGTTCTCTTTGTCCCTCTGAGAAGGAGAACAGATAACCTGTCTACTGAGTTCTGGCAGAAATAGTAGGTAATAAAATCTTGCTCGCTAGACACATTCAGGGCAAGGGCAAAGAGACTGTATAAATTGGAATGTTAGTTTTTTAAATTATACAATAAGAATCAAAAGGTTTTTATGTCATTCATAATAGTACATATTATTTCATTACATATAAGATAATACAGATTTGTTTTTAACTCGTATACTGATGCCAGACTGCCTGTGTTCTAATACCATTCTGCCATTTACTGGGTAGCCTTGAGCAAGTTTCTTAAGTTCTCTTTCCTCAACTCTCTAATCAATAGAATATAAAAAAGTAGAACCTATGTGTTAGAGTTATAGTAAATAATAAATGAGTTGATATATGCACGGCACATGAAACACTTCTTGGCACATAGTGAGAGTTTAGTTACTATTGACTGTTATTATTACTGCCCCCACCCATTACTATCCTTGGGGGATAATGGACAAGGCACTGAATGAGTTCCTAGAAGACCTAGTTTTTTGGTCTGGATTTGACCTCGATTTCTAAAGCTGAAATCACTTCTCCTCTGAAGTGACAGGTGGTATTACATAGTTTCTAAGATCCCTTCTAGCTCAGGCATATCTGCTGTTTGTGGTGAAACGACGGGGGCAGTGAAGAGGGAATCTTGGCAGTGACTACTGTTAACTAACCCCTCTCACCAATGGAGGATGGGGCTTCAATGAGGGCCAGAGAAGAAGACTAACCAATTTTATTCCCCAACATGCAGTTCTTTTTCTAATGGTGTCAAAATAAAGTTGTCTCAGATTTTGTTGTGGCTAGTTGGCTGACTAAATGATTGACCAATCAAAATTTTGTTGTGTGCTTTCTTCATTTTTTGGTCGTCCATTAAACAGATGTTTATTGAGCACCTACAATGCATGAGACTCTGTTCCATATTCAGGAGATGTAGCTTTGAGCAAAACAGAGAAAGTCACCCTTGTGAAGCTTACTCTCTAGTCGGGGAGCCAGATCAACAAAATTCCTAAGTTATTGAAAGGAAGTGAAATAAAGCAGAGTAAGTATGTAGAATGTAGCAGAAAGGGACTAGTGTTAGACAGAGAGGTTCCTCTCTGAGGAGGTAAAACTTGGGCAGAGACAGTTGGCGTGAGGAAGGAACCCATATAAGGATCAGCAAGTGCAGAGGCCTTGATAAGGGAACCTGTGTGTGAGAGGAAACAAGGAGGACATGAGAAGAGATGATACAGCCAAAGGCTCTCTAAGCCAAGGCAAAAGCATTGGAATTTTTCTGAGACGGGAAGTTATTGGAGTATTTTGAGTAGAGCAATGATATGATCTCATGTAATTTTAAAAGACTCATCCTAGTGCTTTGTTGAGAAAAGACTAAGGGGGGAATGGGTATAATGAAGCAGGGATACCAGTTAGCAGACTAGGGTGGTAACATTTAAGGGTGGTAAGAAGTTATCAGATTTGGGGCACATTTTGGAAGCCAACATCACAGAATTTGGTAACAGATTGGGTGTGGGATGTGAGAAAAACAGTCAAGTATGATTGCAAGGGTTTTGGCCAAAGGAACTGGTTCGTGAAGTTATCACTTGCTGAGGTGGGAAAGGCTTTAGAGAAGGAGCAAATTTAGGGGAGATATTGAGTATTTGGTTTTAGACATAAATTTGGATGCCTATCACATATCCAAGTGGGTATGTTGAGGAGGCAGTTGAAAATGCAAGTCCAGAATTTAGAGGAGAAGAGCAGCCAAAGATAGCTGTGAGAAGGAAGAAATCCCAAATGTCAATGAAATTTGCCTGTCGTTTTAAATAAATAACGTTTATTCATTTTCTGATTACAAAGTAGCTCGTGAGATTTCTTTTCAAATTTCGAAAAGTTATACTTAATCCCACTGCTCTTAATAACTGCAGTTAACGTTTTGGTGTACTTTTTCCAACCTTTTTCTTTTTTTTCCTGTATATGCTATTGTGTGTAAATGTGAATGCATGTGTTTGTGTTTTACTAAGTTGAAATTATAATGCATGGTCTATAATTTTTGTTTACTATACAGTATCTCCTAGGATTTTTTTCATGTCTTGAAATGTTATCCGAAAAGGTCTTTAGTAACAATGACCAACATTGTTTTCCAAGGAATGGATGAGGCTAATATATTATAAACCAATTGGAGGAGCTATTATAACTATTGCTGCCTTAATATGAGCACATCTCTATTTTTCTGAAAGTTGGATTACTGGACCAAAGAGCAAAGCATGTAATTTTCTGAATTTTTTTTTAAAAATCGATTCATAATCAAAAAGTCCTGTTTAGCCTCTTGAAAGTCTGTGCATATAACTCATATCCACTTATTGTGTAAGGGGGACCTACTTTAAAATATATGTATTTTTCATTTGATGGCTAAAAAGCAAAATTTCTAATTATATTTGGTATTAATATTTCTGGTTCCATTTTATTATCTCTGTATTTTGCAAATTAGATCTGTTCATGTTCTTTGCCTATTTTCTTTTCTTTTTTTTTTTTTTTGAGTTGGAGTCTTACTGTGTTGCCCAGACTGGAGTGCAGTGGCTGCTCCCGGCCACTGCAGCCTCGACCTGCTGGGCTCCAGCGATCCTACCGCCTCAGCCTTCCAAGTAGCCGGAATTACAGGCATGCGCTACCATGCCCCGCTGATTTTTTGATTTATTGTAGAGATGAGGTCTCGCTGCCCAGGCGGGTCTCGAACCCGCGGGCTCAGGCAATCCACTCACCTCAGCCTCCCAAAGGTATGGGATTACAGGCTGAGCCACCAAGCCTGGCTCTTTGCCTATTTTCTATTATCTTTTTATATAGTAAGACTATTAACTGCTTAATGTATGTTGAAAACATGTATTACCAGTTTTTTGATACTTTTTAAACTGTTTTGTTTTAACATGGTAGAGTTTTATACATTTTTTGTAGTATAAATTTAAGTAAATGTGTTCCCTCTATGTTTTTTTTTTTTAGATTTAGAAATACCTTATTTATCCTAAGATTCAATTAAGTAATATTTTTTAATTTGAAACATATTATGTGGAATTTATTTGGATATATTATTTGAATTGGAGAAATAATTTTTTCCAGTTGTGGTAGCAATATTTCTTTTTAATAATCTTTGATTTTCTTCATTGATTGGAAGTAACATCTTTTTTTTTTGAGTTGGAGTCTCACTCGGTCGCCCAGACTGGAGTGCAGTGGCCACTCCCGGCCACTGCAGCCTCAAACTGCTGGGCTCCAGCAATCCTTCCACCTCAGCCTTCCAAGTAGCCGGAATTACAAGCATGCGCTACCATGCCCGGCTGATTTTTGATTTATTGTAAAGATGAGGTCTCGCTGCCCAGGTGGGTCTCGAACCCGCGGGCTCAGGCAATCCACTCACCTCAGCCTCCCCTTCTTTATAATATATTGATTGTTTATATACGCTGGTGTTTGGTTTTGCTTTTCGCTATTGTGAATAGGATTTTTTTCCCATTATTTAGCCATCCAGTTATTGCTAGTACATAGATAAGCTAAGGATTGATGTTAACCAATAATTTTACAAAGTTCTCTTAACATTTTCAGTAGTTTTTCAGGTGATACTTGGGCTTTGGGAGTAGACGATTTTATATGCCAAGATGATCTTTTTTTTTCTTTCTAGCAGTATGTGACTCTAATTGCATTTCCCAAACTTCCAGCGCAATGTTAAATGATAGTGATAGCAAATATCCTTGTCTTCTTCCTCATTGAATAGTGACCATCATGTTTGCTTTTTTGTTTTTTCTAGATGTCTCTACCTTAGTTAGAAGATGCCCCAATCTTGTCCACCTAGACTTAAGGTATTTTTTTTTTTTTTTGCTTATTTTCGATAAAAATTTGAGAAATCTTTATTTCTCCTGGAATAGTTAAAGGATCTTAATGTTGAAGGCAGTAGGCGATTTCTGTCTCCCTTGTCTAGGCGCGATGGGTGGTTTTGAATAACTTTTCTTCTGCTCTATTACAGTGATAGTGTCATGCTAAAGAATGACTGCTTTCCAGAATTTTACCAGCTCAACTACCTCCAACACCTATCACTCAGTCGATGCTATGATATAATACCTGAAACCTTACTGTAAGTATGTTTTATTTTTAAAGCTAATAGAGGGCAGAGACCAAACAAGATGCCACTTGGTGTTAAAAATCCATTTGAAACTGAAACATTAATATTAATATACCACAGACTGGCTAGGAAAGACTAGCAAGATAGAAAAGCCAAGGCAGAGAGAGTGTTTTACTTTAAAATGTCTGGTAAAGTGACATTGGTAAAGTGACAATGTCTGGTCCAGTGAATGACTGGAATCATTCACTAAACATTCATTACTTAGCTGTAAGCAATTTTTTTTTTTTTTTTTGGTGAGAAAGCAGGATTTATTGACAGGACAGAAAAGCTTCCACAGTGGAAGGGGACCCGAAGGGGTTGCCCAGCTGTAAGCAGTTTTAATTACTAGCATACCATATTCATATCTGTGGAGGACTTGGAAAAGAAGTAGATGATAGCCTTTTCCTCTAGGGAACTCAGTATAATTGAGAAGGCAGACCAAATATGGGTTGGTGTCTTTTTTTTTCCCCCTAATTTTTCAAATCCATTCCAGTTGATTCCAAAAGCCTTCATCTGGGCTTAGAGGAAAAGTTCTGTCTTCTAGTAATATATGTCCTGGATGGTCAAGGAATAGGAAGAATAAAAGCATGGAGGTGATATATATTGTAAGAGTATGATATGCTTTTTGGACATGGGGGAGAGTAACATTCAAAAAAATGAAGTAACTCACTCAACCTAATGGCGAGTCTAGATCCTAGGTCTCCTGGACAGATGCAAAATCGTCTGTATCTAATCTGGTGGTTCCTACGAGGGCTAATTTTACCTGCTCAGCAACTTCCACAGGATCAAGGGAGTGCAAAGAATAAAGCAATCTAGTTCATCTTTCTTCTAGGAAGCGCTATACCCAACTCATCCTGGTAATAATATCATCTCTTTATTTTTAAAAGGTTTCCTTTATTTCATCCCAAAGGCCCAGAAAAGTCTTCCTAATGTCAAATGTAAATGTGTAGCAATTTTATTAAAAACCACAAGAGGTCAGTATCTTAGAGTTGGTCAGGTGCTCTTTCTTACTATAGTCAGCATGCCTTGAATATGGCAACTGAACTCATTTACTTAGCTCATTAATACAAATAAAGGTAGTTCAACTTCAGGTTCCTACCAAGAAGGGTGGTAAATTTGAATAAAGAATTTTAGTCCTCAAAATAATGGTTGGGATTTTGTATGTTAGTTTCAAGAATTAATAAGTAAATCACATACTTCAGCTACACAAGGTTAACTAGAAGAATTAGGAAGTCTGTTAATTATGTGTTTTAATTAATCATTCCATTAATCTTGGGGCTCAGAGCCTGAGCTAGGACTTATTTGGAAAAGCACCACTAAAATAGGATGCCATTGTTTACTTCCATGGCTTTCAAATGTTGGGGTTTAAATTCATATACATGGAACTCATTAAAATTCCTGCCCTCTCTATTTTCTAGCATCCAGAACTCCTAGGAGCCTCTGGCATCTACCCAAAAAGGTTTCTCTGTCATCCATTCTTTCCTGTCCTTGCGATTTGGGGTCCTGATTCTTTGCTTGTGCATCCCCCTGGGGAATGTGGTGATAATTCTTTTCTGCCTGCTTTTCTCAAGAGAATCTATCCATGTGTCTTGCTTTTGTTCCTTCTCTGCAGAAAGAAGCTAAGCAGGTAATAACCCAAATACTTTTTCTCAAGTAGAGGAATAGGGGAAGGCTGTGAGCCCTTACATTTTAATATTTTTATCCAGTGGGATAATAATAATTGCATAGTAATACCTGCAGGCAGTGTGAATTGATAATTAAGAACATGGACCCTGAAGTTAAAGACCTAGGTATGAACCTTCTCTGCATGCACTATTGTTTCTTGTCTAAATCTTATCATGAAATAAGAGAAATGGGGGCATCAGGAGCTAAGTTAGACCACCAGAATAGAGTGAGAACAAGAAGAGAGATACTGTCCTTGAACTTTAAGGTAAAAGGGTATGTTTCTTTAGGCATTATGTAAATAGGACACTGGTTTATATTGTGAATCCTTTGAGTTTTTTGTACCCTATCCTTAAAAGTTTCTCAAGATAACATGAGATTTAGAATGACTCTAATTCCATTCATTCTAGCAGTTGATGTATTTGAGAGTCAAAAATTTCAGAATACTTCAATAATAATTTCCAGAGAGCATTTAACGCTAAAGAATTTAAGATAATTTCATTCTTATCTTAGAAGTGGAAAAATAAAATTTGAATATCTTTTTTCTATGATAATGTTTTTAAAATACTGGAAAACTAGATTTTTCTTCCTCAGGACCTATTCCTGTTGTATTTATTCTCTCTAATTGGTCTTGTTCCCTATATCTAAACTTTATTCTAATTATTCCCTATTTCTCATTCAAGTAAGAAACCCAAGCTGGAGACAGTAAACTGATCTGAGATTAGGTAAGACTAAAAACTCCTGTGGTAGGAGAATTTGTAGTTGAGGCATTTAAGATTTTATAAGGAAAACAGGGTTATGCAGATAAGGTAAGGAGTAAACCTGTGAAAGTTTATATTTTCTTTACTAAAACAAAGAGTCACAAGACGTTATTGATGTCATTTTACAATTCTTAAATTAGAAATAATGACTCTTAAACTATTCATTACTATCCCTTAATTGGCTCTTCAGTGTCTCCCATTGTAGTTTTTAAAATATGCTTACAAATTCTTTGTTCTGTGTTGTTGGTAATAACACATACCAAGAGACATTTTTTTGTTTTTGTTTTTGTTTTTTTGAGTTGGAGTCTCACTCTGTCGCCCAGACTGGAGTGCAGTGGCCGCTCCCGGCCACCACAGCCTTGACCTGCTGGGCTGCGGCGATCCTTCCGCCTCAGCCTTCCAAGTAGCTGGAACTACAGGCACGTGCTACCAGCCCGGCTAATTTTTGATTTATTGTAGAGATGAGGTCTCGCCAAGTTGCCCAGGTGGGTCTTGAACCCGCGGGCTCAGGCAATCCACTCACCTCAGCCTCCCAAGACGCGGGATTACAGGCTGAGCCACCGAGCCCGGCTCAGCCAAGAGACATTTTTATCTCCTCAGATTTTTAGAGGCTTCCTAGTTTTTTGACTTGGGAGGTGGTCCTTCATCCATCCTCCCCTCTTACACAACTCCCTTCTCACAGATAACACCCAAGTGTGTTCTGAGAGTCTGGTCTTAATTTCTCTCCTCACCAAATAGCTTTCCCAATGCTGTCACAAAAACATTTCCTCCTGTGCCATCTGCCATTCCTTTTCTTACTCCCACCTACAGTTTCTTCTTTTAAATATTATCCACTGCAGAATGGCTCACAATTTGGCTAATTTGGATATACCAGAACCAGAATTCTCAGTTATGACAACGTTTCTCAAATTTCACATAAGAGGGATTCAAAGTTGGAGCAAAATTGCTTCATCTTAAGTGATAAGTATAAACATCTATGTATTGTGACCTTTCTTTTATACCCCAGTTTCTACATTTCAGAAACCATTCTTCTTTAAAAATGACAGCAATTTGTTCTTCCTGATTTTCTTTTGATCTGTTATATCTCCAGATCTTACTGTCTTCTTATGAACAAGCGTATTTATTTTATTTGGATAGTGCTTTTATTTTCTAAGTTACATTTCACCTTGTATTAACATCTAACATATATTAAACATCTGTGGTGTTTCAGACACCTTGTGGAATGTAGAACAAATACATTGAGAGAGGTGGTGGGAAGACTGGAAGAGCAGATTAAGCATGGACGGTCTTAAGGCTAGCTGAACTGCCCGACTTCTATAAATACAAGGGAAACATCAGAGGTTTTGGAGATGAATGACATGATCTGAGCTAGGCTTTAGGAGGCTGCCTTGGATATTGGTATATAAAATATGCTAGAAGGAAGAAAGGTCGGAGGCCAGGTGACAGTTATTATAAGACAAGTTTAAGTAATTATTGACAATGTGAAAATATAAATATAAAGGATGGTTCTAACTCTAGGTCATTGATGTGTGTTCATTGATCTGTAGTAGGATTTTGTTGAAATTCCAAAATAAATGTTCTTTTTCCTGAGACTTTGTACTGTGTGTCCCAACCTGGAGTAAATACAGATCAGAGAGTTGAATTTTTAGGTACATAGATCTGGGTTAAGAAGAAAGATGTATTACCAACATGAAATAGTGTTTACTTTGGAGAAATAGACTCCCTTTTTTCACTGTTGAAAGACTTGTATTTCACAAAATTTGAATTTCCTAAAAGGAATAAAAGGCTTATCTATGGAAAAAAAAAAAAAAGGTAGCATGTAGAGAAGTAAGATGGCTATTACCTTTTATAAAGGTGTAATTGATCACCCATTTTCTCCATTTGTAACCAACTACATAACCTTATCTAAAATATCTTAGGGAAGTCACATATAATGAACCTGTTGACTATGAACCATTATTAAGAAATTCATCAACCCTGCTGATATCTCCTTGTGAGAGGTGGAGCCTGGTTCAAATAAAGGTCAAGTCCATATCCTTAAACTGCACGTAACCTGTGGTGATGCCAATGGATGCTCCAGTAAAACATTTACTTTTACCATCACTGACTTGCTAGTTTCTTCTCACAACACAAAAACCTCTTTCAGATCACTGTATAAATTAAGAATGGAGAACAGAAGCAAATATGGTTGGATTTTAAATAAACCTCAGGGTTTCTCAGGTTATTAGGAGCCTTATTCAATAAAAAGCACTGGTATGTTTCTTAAGGCCATGGTACTCAAGCTATATGGTCTATGTTTCCAGTTTAACTTGCTATTTTATCAAGTAATTTACTACAAATTATGTTTTCAGATTGCATTTTATAGAATATGATGCAAATTGTAAAAATTGGGTTATAATTCTAGTCAAATGATTCCATAGATGCTACTACTCTGAAAGTCTCTTTCTTCCTTTCCAGTGAACTTGGAGAAATTCCAACACTAAAAACACTACAAGTTTTTGGAATTGTGCCAGATGGTACCCTTGAACTGTTAAAGGAAGCCCTTCCTCATCTTCAGATTAATTGCTCCCATTTCACCACCATTGCCAGGCCAACTATTGGCAACAAACAGAACCAGGAAATATGGGGCATCAAATGCCGACTGACACTGCAAAAGCCCAGTTGTCTATGAAGTATTTATTGCAGGATGGTGTTTCCTCTTTTTTTTTTTTTTTTTTTTTTGGAACAGGGAAAATAGGCAAGAAGCCCAATTGCCGGAGCACTTGACTAGTTTTATTCCTGTTTTTCCCTTTGCCTTCATTCCACAAGTATATTAGGGAACCATTTGAGAGGGAAAACTATGAAGTGTTGATTTGTTTAAAATGACTATAAAAGCTTTTTTCACTGCTGTGCCGATACGAGCCAAAGTTGTAGGCCTTTTGAAATTCTAGGAGAATGAGACTATAATTTCAAATACCTTAAAGAGCAAAGTTTGAGCCACTTCTTCCAAGTGCCCTTCTTATGAAGTCTATTCAGAATCAAGCTTAAAAATTACCACCAGCAAACAATCTTTATAGCCTATGTAGTTAACTTTTATCTATTTAATTTTATAGTATTACTTAATAAGACATAGCTTGGAAGAACAATAAGCTATTTGTATTTGAGCTGAACAGGAGGAGAATCATAAGGTAGTAGCATTTGAGGCAATCTCTTCTGGGGTAGGAAAAGAATAAAACCCTGCATTTTAATTTTGTCTTTAGATTTGAAATTAGGATGATAGAAACAAATTGTTCCATGTAATTCACCTTAAAACCTAAATTTTTTAAAAACGGTTCTTTTAAAGCCAGAGGTATAGAGCTGGTATAGGATTTGAAGGCTCAAGAGACAATTTTCTGACAGGCTAACTTGAAGTATCCTTTAATGTTCATTAAGGTACTATATTTCCAGAATTCTAAATTAGTTGAGGAAATATAATCGTGGTTTTCTAACTTTATAATCAAATTATGTTAACATGGATTCTTTAGCTTTTAAAATTACTTCTTTGTTTTAGAAAGATGGCATTAACCCAGTCTTTATTCTTGAAAAGTTGGATGGAAGAATTCTGAACTGAGGTTGCCTGCTGTTTTCCTTTAGTGCTGAGGTTCTTGAGATTATTTTTATGTTACTCTGGAATCAAGTATTTTAAATTGTCTTTTTTTGTAATGGTCTCTCACAATAATTGTTTGAAACTATCTATTATATTAAGTTATGGGACCTAAAGTTTCTCAAGAGGAACTGCATGTTTCCTTAAATCAGAAATACACACAGGAATCAGGTATGTGTTCATGCAGTTTCAACAGTAAGCACTACTTGCACCTATGTAAGAGTTAAGATTCAGCTGTTGAACCTTTGATAGCATCAGTGATTTTTTTTTTTAAACAAAAACTGGGTCATAGAAGCAAAAATATTAATTCTGGGTTTTAAAAATCACAAAAAATCTAGTTTAAATGGATGATATCTTTATATATTCAAAATGCAACCAGAAAAAAGCCAAAACTCAGTTTCTTTAACATTAGCTGTTTTTAATGAAAAAATGTTCCACATTAGAAACAATCCTATGAAGTGTGCCCTTCTCTGCTCAGACCTAAGGCGGAACATTTTGAAGTAGTGTTACAGAGAAAATGATTATGCTTCAGTTACCTAGTGCTAAATACTACTTGAAATTATTGTTTACAGATTAGTGACAAGGGCTGGTGTTAGAATCTGGTTGGACTCTGACTTCCAGATGCCCTCAAACATATAGAATTTCGAAACTCATGTCCAGCCATAAGCTATTTTGCCAACATGTCAAAGTAATCTGTATTTTTGTATGTGATTTCTACTTTTATAGACTTGTTTCAAAATAAAACACATTTTTATAAAAATGAGTACTTAAGCTAAGTTGTATTCCTTTTGTCTCAAGAATTGTAGTTAAAATTAGCATTTAGTATGGTATGCCATTTGGCCTGGAGGCCTCAGAATAAGACCCTTCAAAACAGAGCCCTAAAGTGGTCCTTTTTGACTCATGCACTTCAAATGCTTGTTCTCAATTTTTTAAAAATGATAGCTTATAATGCTTTTTGAAAAGGTGCTAAGTACAGGCTTATTAACTTTAGAGCGCTTCTAAAAGTAATAACATTTATAAACCACTTAAATTCAAGCACTATCAAAAGCCAACTAGTATAGGACTTTTAAAATACAGACTTGATTAGCCTACACTGTGTATTTTACTGTTATTCAGAAACTATTTGAATAGTTCGCCTTATCCCCAGAGGTCTTTGAGTAGTTCAATTCCTTTTGAACCATCCATTCAAATGGTAGTGTAATGATTCCTGAATATCATCTAGTTTTGTTATTCTTTTACATCAGGGGTCATCAACTCCTGGGGTCCATTGCCTGTTAGGAACTGGGAGGTACAACAGGAGGGGAGTGGCAGGCAAGCCCATATTAAAGCTTCATCTATCTACAGACTGCTCTCCTTCGTTCACATTACTGCCTGAACTCTGCCTCCTATCAGATCAGCAGCAACATTAAATTCTCATGGGAGTGCGTGCTCTATTGTGAGCTGTGCAGGCAAGGGATCTAGGTTGTGTGCTTCTTATAAGAATCTAATGTCTGGTGATCTGCACAATAAATGTAATGCACTTGAGTCATCCTGAAACCATCCCCAGCCTCTGGTCAGTGGAAAAATTGTCTTCTACCAAACCGATGGACCCTGATGCCAAAAAGGTTGGGTACTGCCATTTTACAGTTTCACTACTATGCTTCCTTTTTGGTTTTTAATGATAAAAAATGTCATATATGCAAAAAAGTAGAGAATATGACATACCCATCATCAGTTACAACAATCACTAACTTCTGGCCAATTTCACTTTATCCATGAATTCAACCATTACCCCCCTCTCCCGTGCTACCTACTTTGAAGCAAAGGCCAGACCTATAATTTCATATTTTAGTGTACACTTAAAAAAAAATAGGGTTTCTCCTGAATTAATCCTGAATTATTAAATGTCAGGATAGTGTTGAAAAATCCCTGTCATCTCAAGTATTTTCTTACATGGGTTTGTGTTGATCCAGGTTCAAAACATGGTCCACACATTGCATTTGGTTGACACTCTCTAATTCTTTATTTTTATTTTTGAATGAGGGTCTCAGTGTCAACCAGGCTGAAGTGTAGTGGCACAATCACAGCTTACCGCAGCCTCAACCTCCTGGGCTCAAGCGATCCTTCTCCCTCAGCCTCCCAAGAAGCTGGGACTATAGGCACATGCCACCGTGCCCAACTAATTTGGTTTTTTGTAGAGGTGAGGGTTATCTGTGTTGCCTAAGCTAGTCTCGAACTCCTAGGCTTAAGTGATCTTCCTGCCTCAGCCTCTCAAAGTCCTGGGATTACAAGCATGAGCCGCTGCCACCACCACACACCTGGTCTCTAAATCTTAATCTTTAGGTCTCTCCTTTTTTCTTTGCCATTTACTTAATGAAAAAAGTAGGTCATTTGTCCTGTGTTCTACATTCTAGATTTTGCTGATGTCATCCCTGGGGTGATGCTTAACAGGTTAATATGTTCCCTATTTCCATAAAGTAGTAGTTAGATCTAGCAGCAAAAAGCTCTAGACAAAGTGTGACTTTTATCCCTCAGGAGACATTTGGTAACATCTGAGGATATTTGGGGTTGTCAAGAGAGGCTACTGACATGTAGCCAATGGAGGTTAAGGATGCTGCTAGCCATTCTCAGAGGACATCCCCACACAACAAATAATTTTCTGGTCTAATATGTCACTGGTGCTAGCATTGAGAAACTGTTCTCGGGGATTATGTCATCAAGCTTTTTTTTTAGCAAGGAGATAATTGACAAGTAGTATTATGTTCTACCATTAAGAGACATAACATTGTCTCCTCTTTCATTTTCACTTTCACTGCTATCACTCTCTCAGGCCCTTGATTCCTCTTCCTACACTTTTGTCCCCAAGTTCCAGAGACAGGAGGGACACTGGCCAAGGGCAAAACTTTATTTCTGGATAAAATGCTTGTGTGCCTTCTATCCTGGTGAACACAATTGCAAGTCAACATTTGTTAGCCATCTACAATGTGGAGGGTTCTGTGAGTGAACAGCCCAGGGGAAAATGCAGGGCATATAAAGAAAGGCAAGTAGTCAAGGGTCTGCGCAACCTAGAAGGAAACCCCTTGGTCAACTGAGTACCCTGTCCCTGGAGCAACCACAAAGGCAACTTCTCGTTCTTACCACTCTTCTTTCCCAGCTAGCAAATATCCCAGAAGTCAAAAAGTCTCTCTACCAAAAGACCAACACTTCAAGATACAAATCAAATTCCTAAAAGTCTGTACTAAACTCACGTTATGGATTTTATTTTTTGCTTCAATGCTTGAGTTATTTTTATGTTTTAGTGACTCTAAATATTAAGATGCTGATATTTTTCTATTTCTCAAATACCAAAAATATAAATTGCAATTTTGAGCATTAAAACCACTATTTAAAGCATTCAAATTAACACTTAAAATATTTGTTTTTATCTCTTTGGCTCCTCCTTAGTGATTTTTTTTTTAATGTGTTTTAAAATCCATAGGTGGAAAAAAACACAAAAACTCTTCATACCTTTCTTAATGTAGAAAATTTAGTAAGCCTTCTCACTTATACCCTAATCCTTCATGAATATTTTTGTTTGTCTGAAACTCTTTAACTTTTTATTCTAAAAAAAATATATTTTTGCTGGGTTTAGGATACCAGGATTTGGGTCTCTCTCTCTCTCTCTCTTCCTCCCTTGTCCCTCCCTTCCTTCTTTCTGTACTTCAAAGTTGTTGCCAGTCTTCTGGCTTACATACTTTCTGGTTAGATGTCTGCTAACTTCTTATCTTTGTTATTCTAAATAATGTATTTTTCTTCTGGCTATTCTTGTACATTTTTTTTTCCCTATAGTACTGGTTTTCAGCAACTTGATTATGATATGTTTTAACATTTATTTTTGTTTCTGGTTATTCTGCTTGGGGTTTGTTGAGCTCCTTGATTCTGTGGGTTTACAGTTTTCATCACATTCGAATTTCAACACATTTTCCAAAATTTCTTCTGTCATCCCTTCTTTGTCCTCTTCTTTTGGAACTTCAGTTACCACTTATATTGGCCCACAAGTCATTGATATCTTCATGAATATTTTTAATGTTAGAGTCAAGAATAAGCTGCATTTGAAAAAATAAAATTGAACTATTATTCGTTAGGTCAATAGCTCAGCAAATGCATTTTATTCTTAGTCCCTGCCACTGCCACCACTACACACACACACACACACACACACACGTTTTCATTTTATTACTTAGGTATTACATTATCCCTGGGATCTTTTTTGCACAGCTATCTTGGTAGAGACTATCTACCCTTAAGTATAAGGATGCACATTATATTGGTACAATGGAATTAATTTTTAAGTGATTTAAGCTCTAAATTTATATTATTCTCACATTTGAGCAATATATATCCCTAAACTTACATCTGACAAGTTTTTCAACTCAAGTGAATACTTTGCAATAAAAAATTTGTGTTCACTGTCTCTATCTGCTTTCTTAGAAAGTGAAATCAGTGCATATTTTTTGTACATGAAAGCTATTCATTTAGTAAAACATGTAATATGATTTTATGTACTGGTGCTATATACAGAAATACAGAACATCGAAAACATTAAGTCAAAATTATCTGAAGAATCTATACTTACCAGGTAAGCACCTCTGACTAAGTAACAAATTATGTGTCAAATGTAGCAGTAAATGAAGTCAGCAGGGCACAGAATAATACACAGTAGAGTTGAGAAAGACTTTTAAAACATAACATTTTAGAAAAACCTGGTTTTCAAATACTTCATGAGAGTTAAGGAAATAAGAAATGAAGTTTAAAAGAGATAAAAATGATTTAACTTTATTCACATATAGCTGTCGTTAAAGGTTAACTCATTCATTAAAAACATTTTTGCTATTCTAACATCCTTTGCCTCTCATTTCTTACAAATAAATCCCTACCACAGAGCAGAAATACTAGAAGTTACATCGCAAATGGAGCACATTATTCTCAAAACCTTTTAAAATATGGCTTATAAATAATTTTGCAAGCAGGTTATCTATTAATATATTACATATTAACATACCTATTTGGGCAATTAGATTTTCTTGAGATTAAAGATGTAGTTGGCATTTTTTTCTCAAAAAGGTATTTTAAACCTGTTAGAGTAGTCTCTATGGTGTAAAATTTTGTTTCTTTATAAAGTGATACCTTACATATGTCATTTTTAAAAAATCAAACCAGAAACTGGATCCAGCTCTGGGAAAAAACATACTTTATTTCTATCTGATGCATCATATACATTCTTTGCTATGAGTGTCTATGCAGACTCTCCTAAGAAAAACAGATTCTTCTGTATATACATCAAAACCTAGATTACCTTTTTTTATACTAACATTCTAAAAATTTTATAAGAGCAGCATGTTAAATATTGGCAAAACTAAAAGCCTTCAATTTGACTATCCTAGCTTTCACAGAATTTACTACTACACTCATGACTCAAATTCTGTAAGAATAATCTGTTTCATTCATCAACATATATCCAGCACCTGACATAGTAATACATGGCACTGAGTTCAGTGTTCAATAAATATTTGTCAATGATTGAACAAATATTTTCACCAGCAAGTGAAAAAAACACGATTTTAAATAAATGTCATGAGAATACCAACTGTTTCATTTTGCAACAACAGGAGCTTTTGCAAAAATTCCAGGATTACTTAGTATAAGTAGATCAAGAATTAGATAAAAATAATTTCCTCCAAAAATAAAGGAATTCTCATAATGGGGAAAAAGAAAAGCCATAACATCCCACAAAGCTATCATGTAAACATTGGTATATAAGCAGTGAAAACCACCACAACACTAAGTAAGGCAATTCCAAAGCTATTGTGTTTTATAAATTTACTAAATAATCCATTTTCTTTCTGATAATACTACTACTAAAAAAATTTTTATAAGGTTTTACCAAACTCCTAATAGAAAATGTCTAATCAGTTCATTCTTTTAGTCCTCGAATCCATATTAGAGCCTTTAAAGATGAAAGAAACCTATTAGACTCAAATCATTTTTTAAAAATTGACCTGAAAAATTATTTGAAAATTAATGCATTTATAACATGATTTTGTTCTGATATATACATTTTGCCCAGAATTTTGAAATTAACCAAAATGAGTCAAATGAAAACATCTATAATTTTTAAATGATTGTTTTGACATTTTAAAATCAATAGTCAAAACATTAGGTTCTAAAATTAGAAAATTCTTAGCACATATAAAAACACATTTACCTATTTTAATTAGGTTAGTGTCAGAATTTATCAAAAATTTTCCAACATCACAAAACTTTTTTAAAATCTTGATTTTTAAGTACTATAAAAAATATGTACTCATCAAATGATATGTATTTGATCTGATAATTCCACAACATTAGGAAGAAAGGGAAGGAAAAAACACTTGTACAGTTAAATTTCAAATCCTAAATATTTAATCCTTTATTTAGGCTTCGATTTTTAAATTTAAAAAGGCATCAGCACGCTTGGTTACCAATTTTAAGCAATACTGAAATTTCACTGTATCAATCCTTATCAATTTAGTTCATCCATTTTCTTACACAGTAAACTTTTTTTCTATCAGAATCCAACAGAAGAATAATACAAATCTCACTTTCTTTGTTGTCATCTTTAAGCCAGGGGCAACCAGTCTCAACAATAACCAAAAAATGTAGCTTTATGACTGGGTAGTCTGTTTCCTGCAGTAAAAATATTTTTCCCAGTAATCAACATTTGTCATCTGAGGAAATCCTTCATTGTTCTAGAAGTACAGTTCGAAGCTCATCTTCTTTATTGATCATCATTGAAGCAATTGCACCATCATTAAACTCAAAAGAAGTTCCTCCATCAACAACCATACAGGCATCCCAACAACGTGAACGAACACAAACCCTAAGCAGAAGGAAATATCTTGTTAAATATTAATCATTTTCTTAACCCTAAATGGATAACAACTGCCCTCTCCCAGTTGTTATCCATCCCTACTCCTTTCTCAAGCATACCCACTATGATTGCAATTTCCTTCCTAATGGCAGACTAATTTTTTAAAAACCTAAATTTTTATCTAAACTAACAGATCATTTGGCCTTGATTTTAAAACTCAAGTTATTGTCGGGTGTTGTGGCTCACATCTATAATCCCAGCACTCTGGGAAGCCAAGGTGAGGGGGTTGCCCAGGGGTTCAAGACCAGCCCAGGTAACTTGGCAAGACTTCGTCTCTACAATAAATCAAAAAATTAGCTGGGCTTGGTGGTATATGCCTGTAGTTCCAGCTACTTGGAAGGCTGAGGTGGAAGGATCACCCGAGTCCAGCAGGTCAAGGCTGCGATGGCCATGAGCATGCCACTAACACTCCAGCCTGGGCGACAGAGTGAGACGCTGACTCAAAAAAAAAAAAAAATCAAGTTATTCTTCAGTATGAGTGAATGAATGACTATGTAAATACCAGGGGGGATCCAAAAAGAACCAGAATTATCTTTTGGAGGACAGGCCCCTTTCAATATACTCAGATTTTGTTCCTCTGGATCAAATCATCAACCAGTTTTGAGAAGGTTGTATCACAATTTGCAGAAGAAACATCCCAAGTTGTGGCAAACAGGTGACCGGTGGTTCTACCATGACAACGTACCTATCCACACTGCGCTGAGTATTCAGCAGTTTTTGACCAAAAATGGCACGACTTTGTGCCCCACCGTCCCTATTCACCCTATCTTGCCCCAACTGACTTTTTTTCTTGTTTATCCGAAGTCCTCAGATGGAAAGGTTTTGCCAATGTGAAAGAGCTGAAACAAAAAACGGCAGTACCATTGAAAGGCATCAAAACTGACAAGTTCAAAAACTTTGAGCAATGGAAAAAGCATCTCGATTGCATCAAACGGAGAGTAATTTGAAGGTGACTGAAGTCTAAATATGTAAGAATATACAATGTTTGATAAATAAATTCCAGGTTTTTTGGGGCCCCCTTGTATATGGATACATTATCAAGGTCTCAAAATTTAAATGTTCTAGATAGCACCAATCACTCAAGCATTTAACAGTAAACAAGTGCAGACCTGATGGAATTCCTAGGCTGTTCTGATATGACTGAATGTTGTTATTAATATTACAGCTATTTTAAGTATTGAGCAAAAGTGTCAACTATTCAGGTAAAATTCTTACTTTAGTATAACACATATACAGAAGCGACACAAATTACTAAGGTATAGCTTAACAAATGTACTTGTGTAATTATCACCCAAATCAGGAATCAATTGTTACCTGGCTTGTGAGACACTCCTTCACTGCCCTCTCCCAGTTGTTATCCATCCCTACTCCTTTCTCAAGCATACCCACCATCCTAATTTCTATCAACATAGTAGTAATAGCTTTGTCTGTTCTTGAACTTTATATAAATGGAAGAATACAGTATGTTCATTGGTGGCCAGCTTCCTTTGCTCAATGATATGTTTGTGAAATTCATTCATACTATTACATGTAGTAGCAGCAGCAGTATTATTGTGTTCATTTTCAAAGCTGTATAAAAACACTTCCATTGTATGAAAACACTTCCACGGTATGTAAACACCAAAATGTACTTATCTCTTCTACTGTTCAGGACATTTGGGTTACTGGCTATGGGGAGTAGTGCTACTATGAATATTCTTGAATATGTCTTTTGGTACACACACTTTTTAAATTAAATTTTATTTTATTATAAAGATGTGAGGCACAAGTAAGGATTAACCACACAAGTAGTCTGCAGGTAGGTGAAGTTGGGACCTCCAACTGGCCTTTACTTCCCCTGGTATAGGACCAGGTACCCTTTGTGTTGTTAAGTGCCTTCCCCTCCCCTCAAAGCAGTGCCCAGGGACTGCCAATCTCTCCTTTGTATTAATGTGATTAATGTTCAGGTCCCACTTATGAATGAGAACATTGGTGTACACATTTCTATTGGTATATGCATTTCTGTTGGCGATATACCTGGGAGAATTAGGGGTAACTGTATATTCTATGTTCAGACTTGGTAGGTAATTATCAAACAATTTTCCAAGTTATTTATTCCTAACAGTACTGTATGACAGTTGCAGTTATGCCTCCTCCTTTCCAACAATTGATATTTCAGGCATTCTTGTGGGAGTATCCAGATCATATTATAGAGTATGAATTTACATTTCCCAGATGAACAGTAAGATTGAGACCATTTTTCATACGCTTGTTGGTCATCTGATATCCTCTCTCGTGAAATATCTAAGACTTTTGGCCATTTTTCTATTGGATTGCCTGCCTTTTTCTTAATGATTTGTAGGAATTTTTATATACTATAGTATATTCTGGCTATGAATCCACAGCTAGATAAAAGTCCTGCAAATCTCTCTCACTCTGCCTTGTTTTCATAATAATGTCTTTTGATTATTAACAGTTCTTAATTCTAGTGTAGTTTAGTTTATCAATCTTTTGTTATTAAAGTGCTTTTATGACATTTTTAAGAAATCTTTTCCAACTGCCAAAGCCACTAAGCTATTCTACTAATATTACAAAAATTTAAATATAAAAAGTATATATCTTTCAAGGAGTTTTTGTAATCTCACCCAAACTGAGTAAAGATTTTCTAATTAGTCAAAATTAACTCAAATGATAAAAGTGAATTTTAAGATGAGTTTCCTTACTAGTGTCTTAACTAAAAAAATAAAATCAACTATATATTCATGAAAAGAAAATATATACATTATAGGCAGCAATTTGTCATTAAACTATTTTTTGCTTATCATAAGATAAGATGACATTTTCTCACAATTATAGTAGGTGTTTTTGTCAGTTTGGAAAACTGGGCAATCTTTACAAAATAAGAAATTATATTCATTGCTGTATATCCCCTCAAAAAAAAATGAAGCAAATTCAACAGATGTGTGTGTTGAGGGGGGTCATTTTTAGGGAAAAGCTGTAAGAAATGAATCTTACTCTAAAGGTTTATTGCTGTATAAGTTAAATTTTATATGATTGTTTATTCTGCTTACATTCCACAGCTTATGAAAAAACAAGGTGCTTTCTATTCAGTCAGCTTATTGTAAAATGATAAATTTGATCTTATTGTGTCTTGATACATTTTTTAAAATCAACAAATCAACCTCACCTAATTAAATAACTATACCCCTACTATTCACTTAAGTTTTACTTCCCTAAATTGGCACAATACAGTTAAAGCAAATATCATTTAAGAAAGGTTAGCATGATACATTGTTGCACAGATCTACTTTTCCTGCTAGATTAAGTATGAGTGATCAAATTTAATGAAATGAAATACTTTTCTTTTTTGTTTTATTTTAAATTGATATATTTGTACATATTTATGGAGTTCAATGTGATGTTTTGATACATGTATACATTGTATAATGACCAAGCAGGATAATTAGCAAATCCATCACTGCAAATGTTTGTTTGTGGTGAGAATATTCAAAATCCTCTCTTCTAGCTATTTTGAAATATACAACAGTTATTGTTAAGACAGTCACCCTACTGTGCAACAGTATACCAGAATTGATTTCTCCTAACTGTAACTTTGTACCCAGTACCCATTGGCCAACCTTTCTTCATTTCTCCAGACCTCCTACTCTCCCCAGCTTCGGGTAACCAGTGTCCGACTCTCTACTTCCATGAGGTCAACTTTTTTAGATTGCACGTGAGTGAGATCATGAGGTATTTGTCTGTGTCTGTCTCAAAATAAAATACTCTTAACACCAAGTATGTGTTATAATGAAAGGGATGAAAAAAGTCACAAACCAGATCTAAGATGCTTACTTTGAGGAGAAACAACGCTGACGACTGCTTGAGAAAACTCTGTTTGCTATTGGTTCTCGAATACTGAAAAGTATTTTTGGTTCTTCTGGACTGTAGAGTAGTGACTCATTATATTCATTTGTTACTATAAAGAAAAAACTAGTATTAGTTCATTATAAAAGATGGCCACTTTTGAGAAGTGAGAAACAAAAATAGATACTATCTTGTTACTATAAAGAAAAAACCAGCATTAGCTCATTCAATAAAAGATGGTCACTTTTGAGAAGTGAGAAATGGATATTGTCTCCAGTTGAAAAGCAATTCTGTTCCAAAGGTCTGTTTGGGAGCAAAAAAAAAAAAAAAAAAAAACCTTTCAAATAAGAATCAGAGTCCATGATTAGCCACCTCTCCCCCCCAAAAAAGATACATCACCTGCAATATAATAGAAATAGGTACACAGTTGGGAAAAAAAGAAAAAAAAAAACACACTAAGTACAAAGCTAGTAATTAAAAGAGAGAAACTAGTTAGATGCACTCAAGAAAACAACTTGAGCTGCCGTATTCCCCTGCCAAATAATTTCTAAAATACCATGTCAAAAAGTTCATACTATAATTATAAATTAACAGTCTTGATATAAAATGCAGTCTCGAACAATAACAGGCAATATGCTTGAAAACTACCATTACTCAAGACATTTTTAGAAATCTCTGACACTTTCTCTTTAATCAACAGGCACATGAGAGTTGGCACACAAAGTACAAATTGGTAAAAGAAAACTGTACGAAGAAATCAGATGTGAAAGAAAGTTTAATTGAGTACCACTTTTTAAAAAATAATGAGACTACCAAATAATCTACCTTATTTATGAAAGTTTCATTTGAATTATTGGTTCTTTTAAAAAATCTCATTTTACCCACAAAAATAAATATTTGTCATTGTGGGAAAATATCACAAAAAACATTCTAGCTGAAGGAAACTTCAAAAGGACAGTTTCAGAAATATCTGTAACAGTGATTGCACCACTGGCATTCACTATTACTACTGAAGATAAGAAAATCTTCAAAGAAATAATGTTTATTCAGTAAAGCTCTGGTGTGTTTACTAAGAGAAAAATCAATCACTATAGTTTATATATACCCTTATATATCTGACATCAATTTCAGTTGTTTTATATATATTTTAAGTTAAATTACATAATTAAGATTCAATTACTACATGTGCCTAATTATTTTTTGATTCAGATTTAATACTGATGTTCACTTATAAACCATGATTAAAAACAATCTTTTAGGTCTCAAACTGAGAGGAGAACAGAATCATTTCAGAAAGGTGAAACAGAGTTCAGAGATTTTAGTCCTATTTTCAAACTATTTTAGAGGCAATCTCTCAACACAGAAAGTCTTATGTGGCAACCCAATATACAATAAAGATAAAATAAACTGACACTTAACCTACTTTATCAGGTTCAAATGTATTGATAACTCATTTTAAAGGCAACCAATAAGAATGAGGCTGTTCTGATAACTCAAATTCAAGTGTTTGTGTAGTCTTTATGTATCAACATCCACTTTGTGTTGTGGCTATACTTTGTTTTGGTTGTATATAGTGAGAAAATCCTTACATAGGTAGGTAGATGCAACTATAAACATGTTTGTTTGTTTGTTTCTAAACAATTTACCTTGAAATTTAGTACAATTAGATATAGCAAGAAAGGCTTGAGGTCTGTACAAAAATGATCCAGGTAGATGAATATGAATAGACTTTAGTGTGTTACAATTTGATATGCAAATTGAATGAAGTGTTTTTCAGTTTAAGAATTTAAATTAAAAAAAAAAATTTAAAGAACACATTTGAAGAACTCCTTAAGTATCAGCTAAATGATGTACTTCAACTCCCTCTTTTCATAACTGCAGAAGTAGAAGAGTAGAGGATCATAGTCTTGCCCACAGTTGTAAAGCTATCTGGCTGATCTGGGAATGGAACCCAGTTCTTCACATTTCTCCAACAGTGTTATTTCTCTTAAAGGAATCCCGAGATAACCCAACAAAACTAGAGAGGAGAATGTTAAAGGGAATGTTTGAGTGAATGGGAAGATAAGCACATAGCAAATTCCATCTCTTTCAGAGAACATTAATGGCACACTACATTTAGGTGTGCATTTCCCATTTGCAAGATAAGGATTTTTCTATATTTTCCTATCCTCCAGGACATGTATATAGCTATCCTTTGACGTAAGAGTTATATTTCATGGGTGACAAAAATCACAATATAAAAATCCAACTTTAAACTTTATACTGTTTAAATACATTTAAAGAGATATTATATTAAGTGCATGTTTAAGTAAAATAATGTATTTTGCTTTGCTAATTAAACAACTATACTTCATAATATAATTCTCAAAACAGATACAGAATTAAATTAAACTGTGATTAATATAATTTGTCACTAACCTTTCTCTACCAACTCTTTGTCCAGTGGAAGATTCAAATTTCCTTGTCGTTTTGCTATTGAAAGAGGAAAAAGTATCTTGATTAAATATTTTATATAATACCTAATATAAAATAACAAACATTATATATCATATTATAAACAATAGTGTCCCCGTATCTACCATTTCACTTTCCATAGGGTTTGGTAATATCCAAGGTTGCAGGTACCACTGGGGGGGGGTCTGGGAACATAAGCCCTGTGGATAAGGGGGGACTACTGTAATAACTGTTTTGGTACTCACCAATATTTAAAACATCTTCCACAGCCTGAGTTGCAACCCTGTTAATATTGAAGGACCTAAAAACAAAAACCACATAATCCTTTCTTGTTTTAATTTCAAAAAATGCTAAAAATGAAAAAGGAACAATGTACTTAATATATAAAGAACTCTTAGAAATTATTGTAAAAGGTTATACATGAACATAGTTTAAAACTGATAATATATTGGTATGGATGTGAAGAAATGTTCTCATTCACTGATGGGAATATGCAGTTGGAGAACAATTATGTACTACCAAATTAAAATGAACATATACTTCAATCTAGTAATTTATCCTAAAATATACTTTCATATATAATGCAGATATATACAAAAATATTTACTGAAGCATTGTTTAAAATAGCAAAACAACTCAAATATATATCTATGGGAAGCTGGCTAAGTAAATATTAGAGCTATTCATCATATGAAAAATAACAGAACTGTATCTGCTGATAGGAAAGGATAGCCAAAATATTAAGTTAAAACACAAAATGGCATTATATAATGCAAATATTATTTCCCTGTTTTATTAAAAACAAAAGCAAAACTATACACAGCAGGTGAGTCCAGGGACTAGTACTAGAGATATGACATAAAGGGAGACTAGCTTTTCACTGTATAACCTTTTACTTTTTACCATATATAAGTATTTCTTTAAATTATAGAACAATTTATTTGAAAGTGAGAAATATTTTACACGTATGATACCTTGCTTAACCAATTAAAAACAAACATTAATACAAGCATGTATAATTTTAAAATAGCTCAGCCCTGGAATCTATAAAGGTCACTAAGAAAAGGTTTTTTTGGCCGGTTTTTTTAATTCTTTCAGGTAATTTAGAATTCTTCTACTACCTCCTAACTCTTCATACATGAACCTCAATAGATAATCCCAGTAAGTAGGAATAACATAAGGAGTCAACACAACTCTAAACCTAAATCCTTGGCTCTTAACTTTCTAAGAGAGGAGAGTAAAAGATGCTCCCTAAACCTTCTATACCTGTACCCTTCATATCTGAAGAAATGCAAAAACAATTTGAACATTATTTTAAGACAATACAGATACATAAAACTTTACATTAAAATGTTAAGCTCATTCACAAACCAAACCCCTTTGCTAAAAAATCTAAAACCTGGCCCTTGCCTACTCCATTTTTCACTATTATCTGCCCTGAGTTCATATTCCAACCACATCAATCTCATTCCTACCTCTAACCTTTGTTCATACTTACTATGTGGTATAAAGTAAAAGACTTTATTTTTCCTGACTTTCTTATTGTATAGTATGAGGTTTGCAATACCTGTCTCATTAGTATTACTGTCATACACTATAAAACATAAGGCACTCAGGAAACTACCGGCTCACAGCAAGAACTCAACATTGAATGTCAAGAGCAAGGCACATATGTCAGTTATATTCTGATTCCTCTGAACATTCACAATATCCGCCATGGATTGGTTTGTAATTCTCCTTATTTTAAATATAAAAATCATACGAAATGAACTATGCTTATTTGAACTTTACTGAATTAAAATATGTAGTTAAAGGGCAAAAGATTTTAGTGATTAATATATCCTTACAGTAAAGACAACCTACGATAACAGAACTTGCTCTAATATTCCTAGAACTATGACTTATTAAAGAAACCACAAATCAACCCAAATGAAGTCCTCTGAATTGGGGTTAGATTAAGGTTAATTTTCTGTAGTTATAACCTAGATCTCAACCAAGTCACTCTACCGTTAGAAGTAGTTTACATTCTACAACAATATGCCCAAGCAGGAGTTAGCTAGCACCTTTTTTCTTAGGTCTACAACCTTCACTATTTCAAGAGTTCCCATTTGAAATCAGACATAACCTCTACTAAAGACAACCAAATTGGAAGTTTAACTGATATCATATCTTCATCAGCTACTAAAACTATCTCCTAAAAACACTTCCTAATCTTTAATTCAGTCTCATAGGGCAGAATGTATTGAGGAGGAGGACTGGGAACATTTCTAAGAAAAAAACAGTTGAAACATACGGTGATTCCACTTTATAGTGCTTCTTCTAGTGTGTGGAGTAAATCACATTCCCCACTGGACAGAGAACTGAGATAAAATAATGGGACAATCCAGAGGCACTTGCCATGTAATACAACCCCTATATCCTATCTCCTGTAGAAGAATTTTTGAAAATACAAAGATGAGATAGCTATTCCGCAAACTGATTTTTTTTCCCTTGAACACACAGATTGTATCTTCTAGCCCCTCTTGTCAGGTAGCCATATGACTGAGTTCTAACTAAACGAATCAGAGTGGACACGATGGACAACACTTGCAAGGCACACGATGGACAACAATTCCAAGGCTGGATCACACCCTCCCATGGGGACCCCCATGCCCTTCCTTGTTCTGTGGCACAGCAACCCTAGAAACTATGTTTAGAGGATGATAGAGCCACATGATGGAGGATCCTGGCTCCCCGACTAACCACTTGGAGGAGAGCCACCTGCCAATTAGGAGCACCTACTTGAGACTTTACAAGAACAAGAAATAAACTTATATTGTGTTTAAGACACTTAAACTGGGGATTTACCTGTTATAACAACTAGCTTACTCTAAGTCATACACTTCTACATTTCATATTCAACAACAAGACTGAGAATGTCATACAAAACTACAAAACTTTTCTCTCCTCTGTATCAAGAATTAAAAGAAGAGAAAAAGAAATATGCTATCATAATTTTTCCATCCTGGTGATTCCTCAGACGTCTACAGTTTAAAGTTAAGTCTAGAATGTAAATTCTGACTGTCAGTTATTAGTCACATGGCTTTGGGCAAGCTGGTTACCTTAAAGACTTCTTATATGCTACTAATGAAAATAAAATCACCTATCTCCAGAGTATTTGTGAGAATCTAAGCAAGATAATTAGCTTGGAACAAAAAAAAGTTCAGAGATGGTAGGGTGACAAAAGGAAAATTGTTCATGTATAGAAATGTATAGCTTTCTCCCAGGCCCTCTGGCTCCTAGGCTTCTCTTCTCTCCCAGCATTTTTTGAAGAAAAAAGGAAAAGCAATCATTGCAAAAGAAGCATCAATAATCAGAGAGGGAAGGACAGAACATGTAAGAGGCAAGCAAGTTGCATAGGGTTGAGTAAAAGAAGAGACTGAGTAACCAAGATGGCAGGGATAGGATACAGTGGATGAGAGAACATTCCATACTAGAGCATAGGCAATAGTAGGAGACTTTAATAAGCAAAACAGAGAAGGCTGACATAGAGTATGACCCAAGCTATACTCATTCAAAGGCAACATTAACACAGAATTCACCTGTAGGATGCATGTGGGAGGCAGTGAATGCTTTAAAAGCATTACAGTAACTGCTATTCTTTATGAAACTTAAATATCAAACTATCAAAATTATATCCCTTCAAGACAGGAGCCTTTAGCACAAGCACTAGTTCACTAAAATTAGCGAGTTTATCATGATATTTCATCAATACAACCTAGTGACTCTGTCTTTCAATTGTATGACCTCTATAGACAGATCTGAACCACTCTCCCTCTCCATTTAAAATTAACCTTCCTTATGTAGAAGTACAAGTAGTAACGACAGTGAAAAGGACACTGGTTTTGGAGTCAAGCACATTTGTGCTTATATCCTAGTTCTGACCCTTATGTGACCTTATGTGACCTTGGCCTAAATATTTATCCTTACTAACCTTCAACTTCTTTCTTTGTGAAATGAGAATACTACTACTTTCAGGATTTCTATAAGGATTAGAGTTAATGTATAAAAAATACCTAGCACAGCACAAAGTAGCAGGGCTAAATAACTAGCTGAAGCAAGTATTATAATGCATAAAATACAATTACAGAGAAAGAGAAAGTCAGAAGATAAAGTAATCTCATTATTTTATTAGTTCCATTTTCTTCATTTTGCAGGTAAGGAAACCTGTACATAGCTGCAAAGCTAGTTAGTGGTTAGCTAGGTCTCTTAACTCCCAGGTCAATAATCTTTTCAGTTATGCCAGTTTGGCCATTTTTATGGATGAGAATACTAGCTAAAGAAAAGGAAAAGAATCTGGGAAGTTATTCTTTTTCTAATTCTCGCTCCAGTTTTCAACAAGTAGCATGCTATGTTCAGTAGGAAAGATGCTATCATGATAAATGGAAGCTGTTAGCTGTAATGTTTCCAACTTAATCTATGAGATGGTTACAAAATAATTTTATAGTATATTATAATTAAATTTATTTTTTCAAATAATTATTGGAAAAGTCTTCTTAGAAAGGTAGTCCCTCTCTCTCTCTCTGGCCTTTAGGAAAATAAGATATTAACCTATCTTTTAAACTTTGCTCATTTTTTGTAGAAGATTATTTATTTGGCTAAGATTACAATTTTTTTAAAAGATATAGTTCTGGCCGGGCTCGGTGGCTCAGCCTGTAATCCTAGCACTTTGGGAGGCCGAGGTAAGTGGATTGCCTGAACCCGATGGTTTGAGACCAGCCCGGACAACTTGGCGAGACCTCGTCTCTACACTAGAATAAAAAATAGTCGGGAGTGGTAGCGCACGTCTGTAGTTCCGGCTGCTCAGAAGGCTGAGGTGGAAGGATCACCAGAGCCCAGCAGGTCGATGCTGGAGTGGCCGTGAGCATGCGTGCCACTGTACTCCAGCCTGGGCGAAGGAGTGAGACTCCAACTCAAAAAAAAAACAGATATAGTTCTATGATAAACCCTCAGTCAGCAAATTTCTAAATGGACTTAATGGACAGAAACTGGAAGCATTTTCCCTGAAAACTAGAATAAGACAAGGCTGCCCATTCTTACCCCTCCTGTTCAACGTTGTGTTGGAAGTCCTAGCTACAGCAATTAGACAAGAGAATGAAATCAGGGGTATCCAAATAGGAAAAGAGAAAGTTATCCCTCCCTTTGCTGACGATATGATCCTATACCTCGAAAATCTAAGAGAATCTGTCAAAAACCTCTTTGCACTGATAAAAGATGTTAGCAAAGTCTCAGGGTACAAAATAAATGTGCAAAAGACAGTTGCATTCTTATACACCAACAACAAATCAACAAAGGATCAAATAAAAAGTACTATCTCATTCACAACAGCCACAGAAAAATAAAATACCTTGGCATCTTCCTAACCAGAGAAGTGAACCTTTACAATGAGAACTACAAAACACTGCTCAAAGAAATCCAAGAAGACACAAACAAATGGAAAAATATTCCACGTTCATGGACAGAAAGACTCAACATTGTTCAGATGTCCATCCTACCAAAGGCAATCTACAGATTCAATGCAATACCCATTAAATTACCAATATCATGATTCTCAGACCTGAAAATGACAATACAGAAATTCATATGGAAACAAAACGACCACAAATAGCCAAAATAATCCTTAGCAAAAAAAAGCAGGAGGTATCACACTTCCAGACTTTAAACTTTACTTATGATCAAATCAGCCCGGTATTGTTACAAGAACAGGCATATGGACCAATGGAACAGTACAGAGATTCCAGAAGCAAAACCTCAATTTCTCAACCAACTCATCTTCGACAAAGCCTCTACCATCAACCACTGGGGAGAGGAGAACCTATTCAGTAAACGGTTCTGGGAAAACTGGCTGACCACATACAGAAGATTGAAACTGGATCCCCACCTATCACCACACACAAAAATCAACTCTAAATGGATCAAAGACCTAAACATAAAACCTCAAACTATAAGAACCTTAGAAAACATAGGAGACACTCTTATAGAAATCGGAGTAGGCAACCAATTCCTGATCAAAATCCCAGATGTCCATAATAAGATAGACAAGTGGGACCTCATTAAACTGAAAAGCCTCTGCAAAGTGAAAGAAGCCATCAAGAGTGCAGGAAGACAGCCCACAGAATAGGAAAAAATATTTGCCAACTGTATATCTAATAAAGGTCTAACATCCAGGATCTACAAGGAACTCAAACATGCTGAAAGAAAAAAACAAACAGCCCCATTAAAAAGTGGGCAAAAACATGAACAGAGACTCTCTAAAGAAGATACACAGGCCGCCAAAAGACACATGAAAAAGGGCTCAGCAGAGAAATGCAAATCAAAACCACACTGAGACACCACCTAACCCCAGTAAGATGGCCATGAGTAATAAAACAAACAATAACAGACGCTGGCAAGGATGTAGAGAAAAGGGAACACTTCTACACTGCTGGTGAGAATGAAAACTAGTTCAACTTCTATGGAAAACAGAGTGGCGATTTCTAAAAGAACAAGAAATTGATCTTTCATATAACCCAGCAACTCCCCTACTGGTAATATACCCAGAGGAATTCAAATCATCCTACAAAAAAGATACCTGCACACACATGTTTATTGCAGCACTAGTTACAATAGCATAAACATGGAACCAATCTTGCTGCCCATCGAAACTGGACAGTATTAAAAAAATGTGGTACATATACATTATTACATAGCCAAAAAATGTGGTACATATACATTATTATACAGCTATAAAGAAGGACAAACATATGGACTTTGCAGCAACTTGGATGGATTTAAAGTCTATAATACTCAGTCATCTATCACAGAAACAAACAACAGAGTAACACATATTCTCACTCATAAGCAGACCCTGAACATTTACCATAATACTATAAAAAAGGATTGGCAGTAGCAGGATACTGCTGGGGTTTGGGGTGAACACAACATCAATAAGGGTATCTGATCTCAAACTAGGCAAAGTGGGGACCCAAAGGGAGGCCCAAACCTTATCTGTAGAATGACCACTTATATACCTAATCCTGAATTGTAGCCCACATCTTTAAAATAAAATATAAAACAAAAGTATAGTTATTGAATACTTACAAATGATATGATACATACGACGCCTGAAAATTTTTTCAGAATAACATAGGACAAAAAGGACAAAAGTAGATACATGGTGGTGCAGAGGTAACAAGAATGGGCATGAGCTGATAACTACTGAAACTGGCTAATGGAGATGTGAGGATTTATTATGCTATTTGTCTAATCTTGTACATATTTAAATTTTTTCACCATAAAAAGTTTAAAAATCCATGGACAGGGAGGAAATAAAACTTTAAACTATCCAAATTTAAAATTACAGTTTGATAAGCACTATATTTGTGAGCGTGTAGTAATTTCTCAAGAAATATTTGAGTGAATATGTATTAGGTACTTTGCTATGCACACAAAAAATTAAGCAGGAAAAAAAAAAACAACTTCTAGTTACCATCCCAAATCCCTAAAGATGCACAAACTATCTGGGTATTAGCATATTAGATAACTAATAATGTGGTAAGTGCTATAATTGTTCCATGAGAAAAAGTGCTGAGAATGGACACAAAAGAGATGAATTCATTGTACTCATGAGAGGAAGTGAGTGTTAATAAAGATTTGCTAAAGAGAATAACATTTGAAGACTCGATTTTTCAGCTAGTGGATAAAAAGTAGAACATGTTCAGGCATTCTAACGCAGGAAGAAGTTGCATTGAGCAAAAACAAAAAACCAAGCAAGAACAAGGAGTGTGCTGAGAATTACAAGTAGCTATGGTGCTTCTAGTATGCTGATGGGTAGTAGAAAGGGTAAAGTAAGAATAAAGCCAACAAGGTAACTAAGGTCATATTTTAAAGGTCTTTAAATGACAAACTAAGCAAACTGAACAGAGGGGAAAGTTTAAAGGAAAGTTTAAAGCAGAGAAGAAATACAGTCAGATTTATCTACATTTTCAAAATATTACTCTGTTGGTATAGTGTGCATGGCAGCCTGAAGAATAAAAAGTAAAGCACAAAGACTATTCAAAAAGATGCAGAGTTGGACCAAATAAGCAGCAGTAGAAACTGAAAAATAGGCAAAGACTTAGAGGTACAATTAACAAGATTTAGAGACTGGGATGTATACAAACAAGGGAGAATGAAGAATGAAAACTCCAAATGTAAGAGCAAGGTTTTAAGAAACAATGTTTTTTTTTTCCCTTTAAAGTACGGAGTATAGGCAAATAGTGATGGTTGTAAGCAACAGAGAGAACACAGCAAGAAAAACTGAAGACAATTCAGTTTTAAATGTGCTGAATTTGAAATGCTACTAACATCCAATCTAGTAGGAAATTATAGAATGTAAGTTTGTACTCAAGAGAGAAGGTATGTTTGAGAGGCATCTGTACGTACTAAAAAGTACAAAATGCCCCAGGTTATATTCTGTTAGGCCTTCAATGCATATTTTTTAATGCCTTTTTTTTTTCTTTACATCAGGGTCTCACTCTGTCACTCAGGGTGGAGTCCAGTGGCACAATCCTGGCTCACCCCAGCCTCAAATTCCTGGGCTCAAGCGATCCTTCCACCTCAGCCTCCCAAGTAGCTGGGACTACAGGCACATGCCACCACATCTGGCTAATTTTAAATTTTTTGCAGAGACAAGATCTTGCTATTTTGCCTAAGCTGGTCTTAAACTCTTGGGCCTCCCAAAGTGCTGGGTTTATACGTATAAGCCACCACACACTCAAGTCTATTTTTTGTATTGTACTTTGTATTCATTTATTTTTAATTATTATTTAAAATATTTTTCACTTTTAAGAAACTTATAGTCCCAAAGCCACTTCTCATTTTATTTCTTGACAAACCTAGTGCTCAATAATGACCAAATAATGACCAAACTCAGGCTGCAGCTGTAATCCTGAAGTCAAGGAAGGGCTACTGCACCCAATCGATGAGTGACACAGAAACTAGGCTGAGCTACGTAACACCAGGCTACCTGTCGTGTTGTAGAGGCCTTAGATGTGCCAATATGAGATACTAAGGAAATTACATTACTTAAAATATTTCACAAAAGTTGAGAAGCAACATTCCAAGTTACTCACCAGGCCTTTGATCCTGTTCCAGTACACAAATTGAGCCCTGAACTCTTCTGTTTTTCCCATGGACCATCATCAACTGAAATCTCATAGTAGGAGGCCCTGTGAATTAAGAATATAAAACTGTTTGCTAAGCTGATGATTCACGGTAAATAAGACAAACACAGTCTTCTTTAGAACTAATGAAATCTAAGTAAGTCAGCTTGACCAAGAGATATCTGATTTAGTAGGCACACACATCATGATACTAATTCCAAAACTAAGTGGGAAAAAAGAAGAAAAAAAAATTCTACATGTCTCCATGCCTTTCTATATGCTCCTTTCTATTTCAATACTTTAATATTTCAAACAAGGACTTGTTGCAAATTATTAGCTAGCACTGCTGCTATTGCTCTTATGAAATCTAACACATACAGAGCCTCATTTCAGAATTCAAAAAAATAAAATACCATTTTTAAGTTAGTTTCATTCTTGGTAGCTAGTTCTTGATATATCTAAATCTATCTAATTATTCAAGTTACCAATACTTCTGAACTCTAATTTCTTAGCATATAACTCTATGCTAATATACCTTTGAATTGATAGTAAACTAAGAGATTAGAAAACAAAGCTGTAAAGAAAATTCTCAACCAATACTGAATTAGTGGACAAAAATAAAACTAGAACTGTATTTACATTTCTTAGACTATTTCATAAATATGAAATCAAATGGGTTTTCTGACACCAGCAAAAATGACACTATTCTTTAATTCCCTGAATGTGTAACTTGTAACTATTCAGATACCTTTTGAAATGTAAAAAGCTACTTTATAAACTCTATCTTAAAATAATAGTGTCACTGATCAACACTGGATTTTTTTCTCCAGCAAATAATGTAGCTTTCCAAAATAATGACAATTATTAGACATGCTTGCAAACACTAACACTCTATGGATAATTTATCTGTCATTCTAACCCTTTCCATTTTTCCTGCAAGCTCTTAATTTGCAAAGGTTTTACATGATTCAACTCCTCCTTTTCGTTTTTTTCCCCACAGTTCACGTTCTTTACAAAAATAAAAGAGATAGCAGGCCTAATATTCACATTTAATCTGTTTCATAGCTCTGTTATGTCTTCCTAGAAAATGCACATTAGGAGTCTATTATGTACAGACAAGCCAACCCAATTCATAGATATGGCTGCTAACTACGCCAGAATCGAGTAAAAACAAGAGATTAGAGGTAAGCAAGCGGGGTTGGGTAGAAGAGAAGCAGAAGTAAAGAGGAAGACAAGTATAGTCAGATGAGAGATACTGAGCCCAAAATAATAAGCAAATTTAGTGTCATTCTCACATGCAAGTTTATCAAGATTAGTCAATTCATAGAATGTTTGCCTCAGGGAAATTATTTTTTTTAAGGCAGCAATAAAACTCACAGTCCCTTTAGAGTGGGTATACTTCTTCTTAAATTGTCCACTGCTACAGCCCAAGAATAAGATATTCTAGGTTAGAACAAATAGAAGAAAAGAAAATTGGGCTTTTAAAATGTTCTTAAATCTAAGAACATTATAAACGAGGCAGGAATAATATTGCTGCACTCCATATTTTCCAAGTAAAGCACTTAAGTTTTCAGAGCTAGCATAGTAAAGCCTCAATACAGGATCTAGAATCAGAAATACTGGGTTTGTATTATAGTACTGATGCTAACTAATTATAGGATGTGGGTCAAGTTATTTGAACTCTCCAAATCCCATGTTTTCACTAATCCATATAACTACCTTTCTCATAGGATGGCTATGAGCATTAAATGAGATAACATATACAACATACACTGTGCGTGACACATTGCAGGCATCCAATAAATGTGAATTTCCTTTCTACCTAAGTGTCTATATCTAATTATCCTTTAAAAAAAAAAGTTCGACTACCTCTAGTAGTCAAATCATTTTCAATAGCATCAAAAGCAAATCCACTGCAGTCCTTATCTTAGTATAGATACCAGGTGAGACATCAAAGAGCACAAAAAGAAGCAGCTTTAAATCTTATTTAGGAGATAAACCAACTAGGTCACTACTGCCACAGGAAATAAAAGCATTCAATCTAAAAATCCTCTCGTGAGACTTCACTGACTCCTCAAATGTCTATCAACTGATACCAGTTTTCCTCCTTTTATAAGTTATTTTTTAGTAAATGTAAATTATAAAGCAACACTAGAAGCAGTTCTTAGAAGTTAACCAACAATCTTCAAAATATACAGATTAAAATAAGCCATTAAATGGCTCGCATAGAGTAAGCATAAATTCACAAAACATTTTTACTATGTCATCTATTTAAAATAGATTTTCTCCAATCTCATTTATAGTTGTTGCTCTCTTCTCAATCTTAAGTCTTTAGCAGTAGACTAGATTATATTAGTAATTAATTGTTCTTCTTTTGTCCTCTGTCACATGATAGTATCTATTATTCATCACTGTATTGCTTCAAACTTGATATGTAGCAACAGAAAAGACTTTACATATAGTATAAGTCTTACTATGTTTAAATAAATATATTTTTACACTTTACTGTTTTTAGTTTCCTTTAAATATTTTCTTTCTCTGAAGAATAAATTTTGCTTTTAACTTTTTTAAAGTATGCATTTATAACCCTCCAAAACATTAAGATACCATTACCTTTACTTATTTGTCTTTATATCCCTAGTGACTCACACACTGCACATAGTAGGTGCACAATATATTTTTGTTAAATAAATTTAATAATACACACAAAAAAATAATTACAAGTCAAAAGCTTGTTCAAATCATTCTGTCGAATCAGGCTTTGTTCTTTTCAACACTACCAAAGTTGAGTCATTATCTAGAATGTGGATATCTTTAGTTATAACAAATTTTTCTCACTATAATTAAATTTCTTATGAAAGGATATAACTTGCACCAAACAAAATTTCAGATTTTATGGAATTCTCAGTAAACTAGGGAACCAACTATACGGCCTTCAAAAGATGACCTGGTTCTGGTAGCAGGAAAATGGAATACTCATCTCTAATCTGTCACCCCTAATTTACTTACATCTACAAAACTGAAGAGTCAAAGTCTAAAGTACTACCAAAATTTAAACGCACTTTGCATTATGGTATGCATTTTAGAGTTTCTCACTATGCCCCACAAAAAAAGTTTTGCAAAAAATAAAAAACTTGTTGACAATTTAAGCCTAAGTTACATTTAAGTCCTATAAAACAGACTTTGCCAATACTAAAACACACACATTGTTATACCCCTAATGAGGAACTATATTAACCTTTATTTTTTCTAATAGTAGTCATAATCTTGAACTATCAATGCATTTGCCTTATGATGTGTTACACTAAAAAGGTTACAGCATCACTTACATAGCATTTCTGCCAAAAATGCCTAGTTTGAATCTTATCATGAAAGAAAAAAAAAAATCACACAAATCTAAAGTAAGGGATTATTTTGCAATCCAATTGGCTTACACTGTTCAAAAATATTAATATCATAAATGACAAAACTAGGTGGGGCTAAGGAACTGTCCTTAATTAACTTTAAAGGGCAATGATGGTCAAATGCAATATGTGATCCTTAACAGGATTCTGGATAAAAACAAGCAAACATATCAGCTTTAAAGGGCACTAAAACAATTAATAGGGACATTTTAATATGAACTGTCTATCAAAGTTTTATATCAATTACAAATGTATACTTAGTATGTCACTCCCTTAAACACTTGTAAGCTGGGCATTATGGCATGTGCCTTTAGTCCCAGCTAACTGGAAGGCTAACGTGAGAGGGTAGCTTGAGCCCAGGAGTTAGATAGCAAGATCCCATCTCTAAAAAATAAATAAATAAAAAATTTATAAATCACCTATTTAAGTAGATTAAAGGCTCTGGGAAGTAATGCAATAAAGAAATCTGAATAACCGTTCAACCTAGGGTATCACAAACTTCTTTGGTCACAGAAAGTTCTCTTAACGCATATTAAAGTATACAAAGGTTTTAGAAATATTTCATTATATAATTAATTGGCATTACTTAAAATATATTAGTTATTCACAAATCTTAGCTAGGTTATAGAAATTGAATAAATATCCAGAAGTATTAAAACATTAAATTCCAAACTTAAGGTCACAGGTTTAAAAGTACCTGGATGATAGACTCTCCCCAATGAAGACTTCATTTAGTGCTCTCACTGGCAAAAGCTGCGGTCCTGAAGCCTCAGACCCTGCAGAAAATGAAAAAAAAAAAAAAAAAAGAAAATCCAAAGTAACCCCTTGAATTTTAAAAATGTTATGATAAAAATTACATAAACCATTAAAACTTTTATATTTTTAATCACAGCTTTTATATAGTTAACATATGAATTAAATATATCTTAAAGTATCCATAATATAAACCTTGAAGTCATCTAACCTTATACCTACAATGAAGTCACTGTCTCTCCAAAATAAACTTTAATTCTTCTTGAGACAATTTTTCAAGAGTGATGCAACATATTTACCCATCTCATAAGATTCTTGCTACCATGCTAAACATAGTTTTATACTGGAAGCTTCAGAAGTGTAGCTGACCAAGTAATTCCAAAGGACAGCCATTTTAGATTTAAGCAGCAAATTACACAAATGGCTCATGTGGGAAACCAAACCATACATGTTAAGAAACTAAATTATTTTTCTCAAGTAAGAAACTCCATGAGTGTTTTTAATAACAGGGAGGAATACCACATTTCCCTTCATGACTCCTAAAAAATGTCATCTTTTCTTCTTTAAAACTTTAAGGTGTGTGCATGCTGTAAGTAATCTCCCTAGATGACTAAACATTACTCTATCATATAAAATCCTCCAAAGAATTTCCAGTGCTTTCTGGTTCAAATTTGTGATTGTCACCTTCAAATGTTTCCCTTCACTTTTTAATCAGTTTTCAACTGAAAATGTCAACCCCATTTTCTTGATGTCTGCACCAGCAGATTTATTGGACTTAGGCAAACATCATGAGACAAGTTCACTTTTCTGTCCCCTCCATAATTCCACCTAACTCAGTGTTTAAAGATCCTTCCAATTGTGATAGGCAGCCTCCAAGATGGTACCCAGTGATCCCTGCCTCCTGGTATTCACACCCTTGTGAATACGGTTGATTACTAACAGAATTTTTTTTTAATTGCCATCCCCACAGATTTTCCACAGGTGCTTAACAATTATTGAGAAAACTGAAACTATTCTGATTCCAAATTCTTTATGCAGATGGCCCTCCAGATCCATGAATTCTGCACCTGTGGCTTCAACCAACCTCAAGTTGAAAATATTTGGAAGAAAAAATACAAAATAACACTACAATAATTAAACATAGTATAAATTAAAAATTATATATAACAACTATTTATATAACATTTACATTGCATTAGGTATTATAAGTAATCTAGAGCTAATTTAAAGTATAGTGGACGATGTGCCTAGGATATATGCAAATATTACACCATTTTATATTAGAGACTTGAATATCCTCAAGTTCCTGCAGGAGGTCCTACAGGGGGTCCAGGAACCAATGCTCCTCAGATATGAAGGAATGACGATGTATAAAATTATCTGCTCCAATCACCACCACCACCACCACCACCACCACCACCACCTCCTCCTCCTCCTCCTCCTCTCTAGAAACTTGCAGCAGCTGTTTAATTCCCAGTATTCTGACATGCCTTAGTATAAAACATGTTACCATTAATATGCTAAACACTTTTTGAGTTCCTTCAATTCAAAGACTCTTGCCTAAGTTTTTAACTTAAAATTTTAAAAAAATGTAATTGATTCATAATTGTACAGAGTTATGGGTACATGCAATATTTGATACATACATATAATGAGTGATGATCAAATTAGGGTATTTAGGATATCCATCACCTCAAACATTTATCATTTTATAGGGAACATGTCAAACCTTCTCTTCTAGCTATTTGGAAATATACAATAAACTGTAAATTATAGTCATCCTGTTGTGCTACTGAACACTAGAACTTGTTCCTTCCGTTTAACTGTATGTCTGTAGCCTAATATTTAACAGAGGGTTAAAGACAAATATTACATGTTTTCACTCTGTATGTCTGTAGCCTAATATTTAACAGAGCCTAATATTTAACTCTGTATGTCTATAGCCTAATATTTAACTCTGTATGTCTGTAGCCTAATATTTAACTCTGTATGTCTGTAGCCTAATATTTAATACTGTATATCTGTAGCCTAATATTTAACAGAGGGTTAAAGACAAATATTACATGTTTTCACTCATATATAGGAGCTAAAAAGTTGATATTTTCACTCATATATAGGAGCTAAAAAGTTGATAATCATTACATGTATTACATGTTTTCACTCATATATAGGAGCTAAAAAGTTGATATTTAACAGAGGGTGGGAAGGGTGAAGAGGTTGATAAAGAAAAGGCTGGATGAGTTCTGCACCTGTGGCTTCAACCAACCTCAAGTTGAAAATATTTGGAAGAAAAAATACAAAATAACACTACAACAATTAAACATAGTATAAATTAAAAATTATATATAACAACTATTTATATAACATTTACATTGCATTAGGTATTATAAGTAATCTAGAGCTAATTTTTTTCTTTATCAGCCTCTTCACCCTTCTCACCCTCTGTTAAATATCACTGTACTCTTTACTTCCATGAAATCAACTTTTTAGCTCCTATATATGAGTGAAAACATGTAATATTTGTCTTTCTGTGCCTGGTTTACTTCACTTTATAATAATGACCTGAAGTTCCATCCATGTTGCTGCAAAGGACAGGATTTCTTTCTTTTTTATGACTGACTAGCATTCCAGATACATTTTCTGCATCCATTCTTCTGTTAATGGACATTAAGATTGATTCTATGTTTTGGCTACTGTGGTTAGTGCTGCAATAAGCAAGTGGGTATAGGCATCCCTTTGATATACTAATTTCCTTTCCTTTGGATAAATACTCAGTAGTGGGATTGCTGGACCATATCGTAGTTCTATTTTTTGTTTTTTGAGAAACCTCCACACTATTTTCTATATTGGGTTGTACTAATTTACATTCCCACCAGCAGCATACAGGAGTTCTTTTCTCCACATCTCCAGCATTTGCTATGTTTGTCCTTTTGATAACAGACATTCTAACTGGAGAGAAATGATATCTCACTGTGGTTTTGAAGAGTATTTTCCTGATAATGAAGTTGAACATTTTTCATATGTCTATTGGTCATTTGTATGTCTTCTTTTGAGAAATGTCTATTCAGAGCCACGTTTTAATGGTATTATTATTATTATTGCTGTTGAGATGCTTGAGTTCCTTGTATATTCTGGCTATTAGTCCTTTGTTGGATGAAGTTTACAAATATTTTCTCCCATTCCACAGGTTGCCTCTTTTAGCTCTGATTGTTTCCTTTTTTGTACAGTTTTTTGGTTTAATATAGTCCCATTTGTCTATTTTTATTTTTGTTGCCTGTGGTTTTGAAGTCTGAGCCATAAAATCTTTGCCTAGACAAATGTCCTCAGGCATTTCTCCACCTACATTTTGAAACATTTTCTTGCATTATTTTTTGATTTTGAATATTTTTTCTGTTCTTTTTCTGGAATTACGATTAATCACATTAACATCCTGGATATTGAATCATGATTTACTAAGTTTATATGTAATTTTGTTACTATATATGAAGGCTAACTTAGTTTATAAACTAACTCAGTGAATCTGAGCAGTGAATCTTTGTATACCAATCTACATCTTTCCAATAAGACTTGGTGAAAAGAGTCAAATATTCCATCTTTTGGCAGCTGTAGTAACTTCTCTTAGAGATAGAGCAAATTTTCCAGTTATAAGTTTAAAACTTACTTAATGGGTTACTTCAGATTTTCAAGAACAATATTAGAAATTCATATGCATATAATTTCTTAAGATTTTTTAAATCAAATGCTTTGTGTTGGAGGAGAAACTTTAAAACATGACATGAGCACACACTTTAGGAACATGCCAACCCATAAAGTTATGTAACCTGCAACTCTGGAAAAAATGGACATAAATGTAAGATTAAGATACCAAGAGAGAGCAGAGACAGAGAGCAGAAATGTAAAGCACCTTTCTCCTGATAAGTATATCCAGAAAATGAAATATAGGGGAAAAAAGTAGTTTTTTTTAAGCCCAAAAATATTTATGAATTCTCTTGGGATCTTCTTGCATCATGAGAGTCCAACATTTACTACAAAAAGTGGGAAAATATGGCCAAATAACAAGCCACAAATTAGCTCAAAACTGAGAATTAACTTTAACCCTCATAACAAAAAGAGCTGCAAATCACTTTGTGCTAATATTCTCTTAGCAGCTTAAACAAATACTTTAAACACAAATCTTAAGGCTGGAATACAAAACTTCCCAACAACAAATGCAATATACTTAAGTTTAACTATATAAAATGTATAACTATTATGAAATCTTCCACATATTAGCTAATTTTATCTCTACTGCTTTTTTTATTTTTGAACATTTCAAAGATTAAGGCCAAGACTCTTTTCTTAAACATCAACCATCCTGTCATAAACTTTATAATCCTTCCCTAATCAACTAATTTTCAAACCTGTCCTAGAAAACATTTCTTCTAGAAATATACTACATTTCTTACTTCAGATTCTAATGATGATAAATTTTAAAACTGAAGCAGCTCACTTTCTTAAGTATTGTTAGTTGCACTAAAAATAAGTTAATTGTAAATTATTACCTCAAAAAATTAGAAGTCAAAGTTACATATTGCCCCAAACACCTCCAATGCCCAATCCACCTACTTTCATCATGAGTTCTTTCGATGTTAAGGGCTCTGCTGTGTTGATTCAAGCTCAGTTGCTGCTCGTGAAGGTCCACAGGAACAGGGTTTATGCCAGTCCCTTCGAGGTATAACCTGATTCGCTGCCTCCATAACCACCTTAGAAAAGTAAAAGAAAAGCAAGTTATGTGAAGAGAGAATAAATGAACTAAGGATCAGACATTATAATAATTTAACCAAATTAAAAAATTGATTTAAAAATACCTATTTATTCAATGAATTATATTAAAAAAATCTAAAACCCACAGGTTCCTGCTCAAAGACATTTGAGTATTTACTTCTCTTTTCAATTATAATGGAAATATCTAGTGTGTTTGTACAAAATCTCCAAAGTAACTCAAATTAAGTTAGACTCTTTATCAAGAACCCATTAAGTCCAAGACACTGAACTAGATATAGCTTGTGTTTTGCTCAGCAAAAAAATATTTTAAAAAGAGCATTCCAAAATGAAAATATTATGTTAAGATAGTTGTGTTAAAAAAAAACCTCTCCCCCCAAATTTTTAATGACAAGGTTTTTCTTTAAAAAAAAGAAATAAAGAAGTTAAAAATAACAAATATCACATTTTTTATTACACTTAAAAATTTAAATAACATTTTTAATAAAAGAAAAAAATCAGGTTTATTTAAAAATCAGTAATTGTATCAAAAGCCAATGGGATAGATCCAGCTAGACAAGTATACAAAAATACTCTATAAATTAGTTGTTTCTAGACTTGCCATACTTCTGAAATGATAGAAACTAGAATTATTGGTGATAAAATAATTCTCGAAAAGTCAAGCAGAACTAACACAACTTCACAAATATCTGGGGAAAAAGCTTTCCTCAACTATAAAATTTAATCCAAGTAAGAAAATAAAATGGCTTTTATATAATTTATATAGTCCAACCTGGCTCTCAGAAATATAACTGGCCATCCCCACCACATCTCCTCCCTCCACCTTCCTCTTTTCATGATGGTCTGCCCAGTGAACAGATTAAGTAAAAGAAATATTTTTTAAAAAATTCCATCACCACTGCTTTAAAAATACTTATATGTAAGACAAAGATACCAGGAACCTCAGCATAACTGGATTAAATCTAACCCTCAGTCGTTGCTAGATGGGAGATGAAGATACAAAGGGCAAAATCTCAGAATTTGAACACTTAATTTTAGCCAACAGTTGTAACTATCTTTCTAACAAACTGATAAGGACATGCAACAAGGTTAAGAAAGTAGAGACATGGCTCATATCTCACTGAAGGAGAAAAACCTTGATTTGCAATTACATTACAGGATAAGCAACATTTGTCAGGGCTTTTCTCTATAGTTCCAAAGGGACTAGGAGAAGGTAAATTAGATCTTTGACTCAGTTAATGTATTACTTTTTATGGCTACTGTTATAGCTACAGAGTAATCCAAATATCTGATTTATTCTGTTTTTAACAGCATTACTAATGACATAAACTTATTAAAATATTTGTACAAGAACAAAAGTAAGAAATTCCTACCTGAACTCACCACAAGAAAACTTCTGTAAGGCTTCTGGAAAGGAATGTGTATATCGAACAGGCAGACATAAATGACCCTCAGACCTTTATTTTAAGAGGAATTTTTGGGTAGTGTATAGGGAAAAAGAGTTAAAAAAAAAAAAAAGTTAATCAAAAGGTATCACTACACTATAAAAACCAAATATGAAATTCTAAAAATTTCTACTGTATATTTTATTTTCCCCCCACAAAATTGACCGCTTGTGAGTGTCCTCACTTCATGATGTTTGCTAATGTACCCCAGAATGAGTGATCCAAAAGGCCAATACAAAAGCAATTCAAAAGGCAGTATCTAGACTTAGAATCCACACATTATCACACACATATCAAGTACAAAAAAGATCAAACAGAAATAGTAGTCTACATCTAGCTTTAATACCATATTATACAATAATACTTAAGTTTCTATATTATAATGAAACTAAAATAATATTAAATTTGCCATTGATTACCCTGTAAAATTATCTAATGATACAGTGTGCTTGTTATCTTACCTTGAGTTATTTAACTAGTAACTTTGGCAAGTCACTTCACCATTAGCTTCCTCATCTCTAAAACTGTGATAAAACCATCATTCTCAAAAGGTTATTCTGAGGAATAAAGCTATTTATGTGAACATGTTTTGAACCATAATCCCTTTTTAAATGTCATTTAAGATATCCTGAGTCACTAAAAGAAAACAGAGAAAGCTTAATTCAATGTAATCCTTCATTTATTAAAAAAAAAGAATGAAACTCATTCAAGGAGTTCACAGCTTGAATGTGAAAGACAGAAAATTAATAATCACAAATTACAAGATAGTAAGATTGCCTGTAGGTATATATAGGAAGATGAGAGTATACGACTCAATCATCATCATCTATATGATACTTCCCTCTTGAAGAAAAGGTTGAGGGCAAACCTAGCAAAACAAATTACTGATAATAAATGTAATTTTATTAACATTTTTACAAAGTTGTGATGAGTCAATTTCTTTACCTGAGAGGGTCAACATTGAGATTACAAAAGGGCAGGACCAAGTTATTTAAGGTTTTATATTCACTGTAATTCTTCACACAGTGTTAAATATATAAAAGGTATCAACAATCATTTGATAGAATAATAATGGCTGAGGTCAACTTCAAGTCTAAAACACTATAAAGAAAAGACTTTCCCATGAGGTCATATTCAGATATCAGCTAGGTCTGCAGGCATCTGAAGGCTTGACTTGGGCTAGAGGATCCACTTCTAAGGTAACTCACTCACATGGCTGGCAAGCTTGTGCTGGCTGTTGGTAGGAAGCTTCAATTCCTCTTCATGTGAGCCTCTACACAGGACCCCTTTTGAGTGTCCTCACTTCATGTTGGCCGATCTACCCCAGAATGACCGATCCAAAAGGCCAATACAGAAGCAATCCAAAAGGCAGTATCTAGACTTAGAATCCACACATTATCACACCATATTCTATTGGTCACATAGGCCAGCTCTGATTAACTGTTGGGAGGCAGAGAGTACATAAGGGTATAAATAGAAGGAGGCTACCTTGGAGACTGGCTACCACATGTCCCCTATCCCATTTTGAATATTACGTTTTCAAATGTTATAATTATTTACCAGGCTCATAGAGCTGGTTTATAAGGGGGGACCCCCAAAAAACTGGAAATATCTCTTGAAGGACGAGCCCCTTGTAGTACACTTGGTATTTGTTCCCCCAGATCAAATAGTCAACCAAAGGTTTTATCTAGAAGTTTTGAGAAAGTTGTGTCAAGATTTGCGGAAGAAATGTCCTGAGTTGTGGCAAACAGGTGACTGATTCTTCCATCATGACAACATATTCGCCCATTCCACGCTGAGTGTTCAGCAGTTTTTTACCAACAACAGCATGACTCCCATGCCCCACCCTCCCTATTCCTCAGATCTCAACCCTAGCAACTTTTTTTTCTTTGTTTCTCTGGATGAAAAAAGTCCTTAAAGGAGTTTTGCTTGATGTGGAAGAGGTGAAACAAAAAAACGGCAGAAGTACTAAAAGGCATCAAAATTGATGAGTTCAAAAAATGTTCTGAGCAGTGGAAAAGCATCTCAATGGGTATAGTATCAAACAGAGAATACTTTGAAGGTGACTGCAGTTTGAACATGTAACAATAAATACACAATTTTTTATAAATTAATTCTGGGTTTTTTGGGATTTCTCCCTTGAATAATACAGGAGAGACAGAAATTATCTATTTAATTTACATGAGTCCATGTGAGTGAGCTATCTTGAAAGTAGATTACCCAGCATCAAATCTTCAGATGCCTACAGCCCCAGCTGTCACCTGATTATAACCTCATGAGAGATCCAAGTCAAAACCACTCAGTCAAACTGCTCCTGAATTCCTGACATACAGAAACCATGAGAAATAATAAATTATTATTGTCTTAAGCCTCTAAGTTTTGGGATGATTAGGTATTCAGTATTTAAGAACTAATAAAGTGGAGGAAAAAAAACTTAGTTGAACATTAACCTCTGGGTTTTAAAGATTGTGAGACACCACAGTACTTAAGAAAAAGAAGTCAGACAACTTGAATTACAGAAAGAAACTAGGAGGCAATTTAATATATCTGCCTGTGGGCAAGAAGAGAAACCTGTTATCCTAGGCAGCAAACAGAGAATAGTTGGCTGTATTAACACCCTCTGCTTACCAGTTTCAAAGTTCCCACAAGTTTATAAATATCAAGCCAGCTTTTCAAAGGTAAATACAGTTCAATACACAGTATAAAATATGATCACTAAGGCTAAATAAAGAACCTTAACTTAATCATATAAAAAACAGGCCATTAAGAAGTTCTGAAGCCCACATGCATCAACATTGATGGCAATCAAAAATTAATGACTGAATCAATGATCCCATTTACTTACACTCAGGAAAATTTATTCAGCTAGATAGGGGTCCTACCCAGCTCCCAAGATCACTTAATTAATCAATTTTCAAATGTCTATTGCCTACCAACTACGTATAAAACTATGGTAGTAATAGAGAAACTAAAATACAAGTTCCTATACTTAAGGAATTTATAGTCTAATGGAAGAGACAAAGAATTAAGCAGAATATAATATATAGAGATAAGTGGTCTCTGTACAGGGAATTACAGCCCAGGAGAGGCACCAGAGTCTTGAATGAACAAGAACTACAGAAGTGAATAAGTGGTATAAGGGCACTCTTGAAAAAAAACACATACAGGGGCATGAAAAAAAAAAGCATGGGGGGGAGGGACCTTCTGGAGAACTTTTTCACTGACTCTTAATAAACATGCACTGCCGTATATATCAACAAAGTTCCTCACCAGAGCAAAAGTATCTCCATGTGAGCTTCCAGTCATGGTGCCAGTGGATGCTCACACATTTTGCAGTTAAGAATAGCCTTTTAGGAAGGATCCTAGGCTGATCCTAGAAGGGTTTCAAAAGAATACTTTTTTTAGCTGAAAATAGTGTCATGCCTGTGGATGTATGAGGACAGGTGAAACTAGAAAAACAAATAGGCAACAGATGGTGAAAGATCACAAATATTATGCTAAGGAATTTGCAATGTATCCTGAAGTTCATGGGGAAGCCCTAAAAGGCTTTACTTAAGGAATGGATATAAACAGATTTGCACTTTAGAAAGAAGGCTAAGGCAAAGTGTAAAGGAAGGGCTGGAAGGGGAGAAACAGAAAACTACTGCAGTACTTTAAACAACAAACTATAAAGGCCTGAGCTAAGTTTAGTGTCAGTGAGGACAGAAAGAGATAAACTCAAAGGTAAAATCTCTAGAGCTTAGGACCAATCTGATGATAGAGGGAGAGAGAGGTAGTCACAGCTTCAGCACAGGTGATGATTCCACTCATGAATGATAGAGGAAAGGAGAGAAGTTTATTTATAGGCATTATTTCTTTAATACCATTAAATACATTCAAAGTAGAGATCAGTATACAGTGAAAGAGGGGGAAAAGAACACAAGGACAGAGAATAATCAGGGACCAGATAATGTACAGTCTTGTATGTCACAGGTAAGGTGACCAACTCTCTGTATCCTGACTTGCCTGGATCTGACATTTTCCTCAGACACAGGACAATGCTAAAGCTGGGAAAGTTCCAGACAAACCAAAATGAGCTGGTCATCCTATTCATAGTAAATAATTAGATTTTTAGTTAGATAAGGAGTCACTATTAAAAAAATCTCTGACCAGAGAAGTCACATAATATTATTGAATTTTCAAACAACAATCACACTGGCTGCACTGGGGAGAAGACATTGTAAGGGTAAGAATAGAAGCAAGAAAATCAGTGTTGGATATAAAGATTTTGAAGTCCCAGAACCTGAGTTAAAACCATGGGTATTCATCAGCCTCTCTGGGGACAGTACAGAGAATGAAGAAAAAAGCATATGGCACAATATGTAAAAACACCAATATTTAAGCAGTGACCAAATAACAACACCCTTCAAAAGGGATAAAGACAAAGAAGTAGATCACAGAGATAGGAAGAAAGGGGTGTCATAAATGCCAACAAAGTGCAGGTGAAATAAGGAAGCAGTTAGCACCTAAAACTTCCGAGAAATCAAGTCAGACGAGGACTAAAATGTTCAGTAGATTCAGTAACTAGACTATCACTGGTCTGTAAGGCAAAAGGAATGTCAAACATCTGGTTGAAGACAAATCAAGAAGAAACCGCAAAGGTTTAGAAAATAACTGGGAAGTAAGGACACGGAGGTACCAAGCTTGGGGATAAATAAAAGGAAAAGTAACAACCAAGAGAGATACATAGGGTAAAGGACTTATAAAATTTTCTCAAAAAATGGGAAGCCTAAACAAGTCTTTAGGCTAAGAGAAGTCACGTGTGAAGGAAAAGAGAAAAAAAGGAACACGTGACAGAACAAGATTTTATTTATTTATTTTTTATTTATTTATTTTTTTGAGTTGGAATCTCACTCTGTCGCCCAGACAGGAGTGCAGAGATTTTATTTTTAAAGCAAGAGAAAAGCTGAAGAAGTTCTAATCCAGTGACTTTAATTTCCTCTGTGAGAAAAGAGGAGAATTTATCAAAGGAAGAAGGATAAAGGAAGCAAGGAATATACAAAAGTATATAGTAGCCACCACATGGACTGAAGAAGAGATAACTGGGGCTACATGGAAAGATTTTTAGCAACTCCAAGGGTCCAGTCCTAGATGACAGAGACTACAAACTGGAAGTGCTACCGAACTCAAGGTTGTATAATTCTTTTTTCCCAGATGACCTTAGCAGTACCGATATAGAACGGATGATGGTCAGACTGATCCAGGATTGAGCAAAAAGATAATGATAAAAAATACTTATGAAAGTGAATGAAGTGAGACATAACTGTGTAAAGAAAATGGAAGGGATCAAAGTACTGAGAGTCAAAAGGCGGATATAGTGGGATAAGAAAATAAAACCACTGTTAAAGTAAAAGTCTGTGGTCAGAGTAGAATTAAGATTGTAGAGATGAGGGAATTCCAGATGATCATAAAGTACAGGTATGGTCCTGGCTGTGACTGGCTAAACAGAACGACAATAAATATCAGTAAGGCTGGGGAAACAACAAAAAAAGAAAAGTGATAATAGTGTTTGGAGAGGTCTATTCATTAAGTCAATAAAGTCATCTCCCCTCCCAAAAAAACTAGTGGTGGTATAACCAGGAATGTAAATGAGCAACACAAGGAAGGGTAGAAGATGGATCATTATTAACTCATCCCTCTTCAGTACTACCAAAGGTCCCCTAGTACATACTGGTTCAAGAGCTCAGGTCTATTCTGCCACAGATCCTACTCCTAAACCATTTAGGAAGCTAAAATGTGAGGACTGGTCCCTCCCATAATTTTCTACCACTAATGCCAATTAGATGCATATATATTACTCATGCCCGAACTTAAAACTAGATTAAAACAATTAACATAAAAGACATTCCTGCTCAATTCTACATGCCTAGGTATCATCATTAAAATGTTTTTGGAACATAGTTCTAGTGTTCATGGTAGCCAGGAACAATGATGCTTCCACTTAAATATATACTACAGTAAAATTCGTATAGCAACAGAGTCCAGTAATATGATGACAGTAGAATAAATAATAACTTCCAATTTTTAAGAAAATCATAATACATACTATGCAAAGCAAAGCAGAAATGTTTGTATGTATAACCTGCCCCCAAAAAAGAAAGAAAACACAAACATACAAACCAAAAGAACATGTTCCACCTTACCGTTCTGGATCAGTGTTTACTCCTATAACCGGTTTAAGTCTGTCCAAGACTTTACTTGCTGCCAGAAGCATTGTGCCATCACCTAAGAGACATAAGACAGACGATAAAATTTAACCAGGGTTCTGTTATAAATCCTGCTTTTGACTCACTTTGACAACTAGTTTAGTTTTAACAATCACATCCCACCTTGCCAATGGCTTATGGCCTACCCCACTTCCTTTCTACCTACTATATTTTTATATCATCTCTCCTGCTATAATCCAGGATTTTAACAGTGGTAAGACTGAAATTTTAGACAGAATCACTCTTTGCTCGTAGGGGTCTGTCCTGTACATTGTAAAACTGTTTAGCAGCATTCCTATTAGATACCAGTGTACCCCCAAGTTGGTAATCACTGCTGTAATCCCAAAATTTCTATTAGCCAATCCTCTTTTCTTCTCCCATAACACCAGTCCAAATCCATAAACTATTTTAATAAAAACATAACCAACAAAGTTTCCAACGTCAATTTTTTTCCTCCAACAGCTGCTGTCAATTTAAAGCTTTAGAAGGAGTGGTCATTAACTTATTAATAAAGTTTAGGAAAAAAATAAGTGTAAGTATATTGGGACAAAAAAGGGACAACTCTGGCATAAGTAAAACAAAATTAAACCAAAATATAATAACTAAACCATTTAATCATAGTTGAAGTTAAATGCACACCTTAAATATACACACAGAACCTCATAGCAACATCATTAATTTTAAAAGTGGACGGTTATATAAAAGAGATTTATTTTAGGGCAACCTCTTTCAGGTCCCTTCCCATTGTGGGAGATTTTCTGTCTTCTTAATAAATTCTACTTTCAAAAAAAACAAAAGAGAGAGAGAAATATATTTGAAATCTAATTGTAAAAATACAAAAATTTATCTAATGGTAGGACTCTGAAGGCTTCAGGATATCTAGAATAATGTGTATTAAACAGTATTTCCACATTCCAACATCTTTAACCCTATAAAACTATTACCTCCTGCAGCAATGACAGCATCTGCCCATCGAACAGTCTCTTCATCATATTCTCTCCTCTTTACCAGACGAACCTCAATTCCCTCATTCCTAAAAGTAAAAAGTGAAGGTTACATAAAATCTTCACTAGTAGCATATATAAGAGAGGAATGTTTGAGAGGCAGATTACAATGGAGATGTAAAATAAACAAATTTGTCTTATAAGCAAATTGGTATAGAGTTTTATAAAGTTAGCCTCATTTCATTTAATTACAACAGTCACTTGATCCATTATGAAAGTTCAGATGGCACAGGGATAAACTGAGAGTTAATAACTATCCTAAATCTTCATGTGCTTTTAAAAACATTTTTATAACCACTAACAAATAGCACTGTTGATTGGTTAGAATTTTATTTCATCATCTCTACTCTTTCTGCATTTAGTCCCAAATTAACTGAAGTTTGCATAATACTTTTTAGACAGAAGCTTCTGTGATCATTTTTAGACAGCAAAAGAGTATTACAATTAACACCTATGTAATCCACTATTCTGTTTTAAAAATAAAACATGACACAGTTGAAGCCAGGTGTATACTGTATAATGATTACTTCCTGCAGCTATGATTACTTCTCTAGCAGATCAAATAAGTGAAAACATTTGTGAAGTATACAGAGTACAAGAAAAACGTTCTTGCTATTAAATCAGGGCCATGAACCTTGATATAATTTTCTAAAACTAATTTTAAAATGACAATCTTTACTAAAAATCTAAGGATGAGCTGCTGGTACAAAACTGGAAGCCTTGAATATAAAATCCCACCCAAGTCCCCATCCCATAGACTTACCGTAAACTATCTATAATATGCTCTACATTTTTGGTGTGAATATGATGTCGTTCAAGAAGTCCACTGTAGCTAGAGCCTTTCAGTGCAAGCTATATCAAAATAAAAGAAATGTTTTACTATATATTACATATGATGTTATAATATTATGTCTTTAGAAAACCCTGTATAAAAAAAATTTTTGAAGGTACATTTTAATGACTACTCATAAAACCTCCAAGTTCAAATTGAATTACAAAGTCTGATTTCAGAAAATTATAATTTAGCTTTAATGCCAAATACAGTATTAAGTTTTCTGAATCATGTATCAGCAGAATCTCAAGATGTACCTGTTTTACAGCTTGCTTTTTATTTTTTAATGACTTTTTGACATACTGCATATGGTTACTAGACACCCAAAGATATACGAATACTTTTAGAGGCAGTACATGACCTTTGTTCCACTTGGATTTGCTGCTCTCTTGTGTTCAGCTTTATGAACTCTATTTGGAATTTACTTCATGCAATCTAAACAAAGGGCTCATTAGCTCCCTGAGAAGGTGACATTTTAGATATACAGACATATACAAGGGAGGGATCCCCCAAATGAAGTTTATTTATCAAAAATTACGCATTTATTCTTACATGTTTAAACTTGTCACCTTCAAATACTCTCCCCTTGATGCAATACACCTATTGAGACACTTTTTCCACTGCTCAAAACAGTTTTTAACTTGTAAATTTTGATGCCTTTTAGTGGTTCTGCCATTTGTTTTACCTTTTCCACAATGTAAAACATTTCCCTTTAAGGACTTTTTTCACCCAGGAAAACAAAACAAAAAAAGGTCACTCAGGGAGAAATTGGGTGAACAGAGAACATGAGACAGGGGAGCCATGCTGGTTTCGGTCAAAAACTGCTGAACACTCTGCACCAAGGGGACAGGTGTGCTCGTAAATCACCCACCATGAAATGGACAAATGTGTTGAAGGAGTCTCCAAAAAAGTTAACTGAAGACAAAGCAGCCTCTCTCAATGCTAGCTGGTACAATGATGCCGATGGGTTCCTAGAACACTTACCTAGCAGGGAAACCTGTATTACAAAGGGAACTACCCTTCAAAAAATAATTCCAGTTTTTTTGGGGTCCTCCCTCGTATACTTCAAGAATTATTTTTCCTAGTTGATATGAGCAACATTTTATTTGTAAAGTAAAATGTTGAGAGAGAAGTTCAGAAATAATCTCAGTGAACAACCATTTAATCACCAAGTAGAAAATTTGTCTACTGGCGTGAATGTAAGAATTCAAAAGCATGTTCTCTTTATTTTCTTTCCTCCTCTAAGTTTCTTTATACCTTTTTTTTTTTTTTTTTTTTGAGACAAGATTTCCCTCCCTTGCCCACAGTGGTCTTCTACTCCTGGGCTCAAGCAATCCTGTTTGCTCAGCCTTCTAAGTAGCCAGGATTACAGTAGCCAGAATTACAGAGCCACTACACCCAGCTTATACCTTTTCTCTTTATGATATCTGTACCTGTCCCATGTATAATTGCTTTTGTTTTAAGTACTTACTGTATTATAATGCAAAACAAACCTTTAGATGTTTTATATCTATTTTATAACATTTTATGTTATAAAATATAATATTTTATCTGTATTTTACTTTTTAAAGGTTACAAAGATAATACTAACAACATGGAAGATACATAGTTAAAGAAAATTAAGGTTAAATATAACTTGATGACTACAAGATCATCAGTGCTAATATTTCGATACCTACCTTCCCCTTCTTTTGTCTATGAATACTGGGTTAAGAGTTTTAAAATAGTCTTGCCCCCACTCTATAAAGAGAAATGTACATTCCTCAAAAGAGGAGCTGAGGAAGCATTTGGCTACTGTGAAAAAACATAACTTGCAAAGATACACTAGATCAGATAGCCAGTGCAACACCTCAATGCCTAGCCACAAGTCTTATTATTCAGACAAAGCAAATCAATGTCAAGAATTTGTTTTAGAGGAAAGCAGTGACCAAGACTCGCTCTCTCTCCCTCAGTCCCATCCTGGCTCTTCCCATCGTTGTGTTGGATTGCCTGTTCACTGAAACAGCTACTGCTGGTGCTGTCACCACAGCTGCTCCAGCCACTACTGCCAATAACCCCATCCCAAAGCCTGTTAATTATTCCTCATTGCATTTGCCACATCTAAAATTATCCTTTTTTAAAATCTATTTGACTCCCCTTACTAGAATATAAGTACCATGAGAACAGTGGTCTTACTTAGCTTGTTCACCACTGTACCTCAGGGCCTAAGTACTGGCTAAGTATCTGTAAGTGAACTCACTCATGCATGCTACAGAAAAACAGATGCTAAAAAGGGTAACACAGCTAAGTGACAATAGTGTGCAAAACAGGCCATCTTTACCTGGTCAGAACCTAGACAAGGCATATTAGTTACCATAGTATATTACTTTGGTATAATAATTATCTTTCATGATCCCATTTGAGGAATGAGTACTTCACAAACCTAGAAATTACGTTCTAAAAAATTAAATGTATTCATCCAAATATTTGAGTGCCTCTACTGTGTTCATTTAAATATTAATTTAAATCAGTCAAACGTATTAAATGGGACACTAGAAACTACCAAGGACAATGAGAACTAATTCAGATGTACAATGAGTCCATTACAATAGTTACATCAAATGTACCACTTCTAGCCTGCTATAAACAAAACGTAAGGTTAGCTGGCCCTCATACCTCAGTTCTCTGTCCATATTTTTTAAACTTACATTCCAATATTTGATTTTGACAATATGGAACATGTACCCAGGAAAAAAGGACATAAATCCTGTAAATTCTAGACTGGTGGTTCAGAAAACTGTGTTTACTTCTTGGTTCTCAGCAAGCTCCAGAAAATTAAGATACTCAGTTGAGTGTTTGGGAACTTTGGTTCGAAATGGTAAAGGGGTTTAACTTTGTGGAGGAAAAAGTTTTGGAAAATTAACAAAAAACTTCAAGTTTTCTAAGATTGCTAGCAACACAAAAATTCCTAAAATTCCAAATCAAAATACAAAGTTCATTTAGCATCAGAATACTTAACACTGAAGCAGAAATGTCATTTCATAAATTCTTATTCCCACTCAAATTGCTTCTTGTGAACTAAATTTTCTAATAAGTCATGCTCAACATTCACTTCTTAATATAAATTCTTATATTAATTATTTTATTTAAATTATCGTGCTGGTTGGGTTACTGATCTTCACTAACATGAACTGGCTAAACTAGGCAGACAAACAAGGCATTTAAGAAAATCACTTTGTAAACAGCATCAATTACAAAGTCTTAAATCACTACTCAGTCAGCTCTTATATTTGTTTAAAAAGTAATATGCAAAAGCTGTTAAGAATTTCTAGCTACATCCCTGAATATAACAAGACTTCAAATATCTACAATCAAACCTTAAACCAGACAAAAATAAGAACTCATGAATTCTTGTAAAATGTCTCATAGTTAAAAGTTTAGAGAAATTACTGAGATTTAGAACACATCCATATTCTCTGCAATGTTACACAACATTAGGTATTAGTAGCAAGTCTTTAATATCTTATTTTTCCCAAAAACTTGTTAGTTCTTCTCTATATTAATAAATAGTCACCAGGACACTTGGAAAAAGCAGGTGACTCTAAAAGGTCTATAGACAGACGCATTTCAGTATAAGCAACAGTTTCTCCTACAAAATCTCCAAAAGTCAAGATAACTTCTCACATAGCTCTGATGCTAAAACACAGGGAAAAAAAGCAAAATTCCAAATGGAGAGATTTAGCAGCACACTTTAAGATCAGATGTAACAGTCATACTATTTTCTAAGTGGTCTATATAACACTAATAAATTATCACAGATATTTTTTACTTGACCCAAATTGAATTTATTGCAATTACAAAGACTTGTTTTACTAGTCACTTGAATACTGCTATTTTGTGCTCTATGTAATTTCCATGAAAGCCCAATAAAGGAAGGAGCTATGTATTTTTAAATTTTAACCCATAAGAAATGCACAGACTTTTGAGACAATGACAGATTTGGTATATAAACTCACTAGGCATAATTTAAGCACCTTTATAAGCATATCACCTAACTAAATGTAACACTATGACTCAAAATTGCCTTAAAAGGGTCAATGGTGCCTAATTAAAAGCTAGAAAGTCAATTCTTCATCGCCAGTATGATCAGGCCTGTGCACCAAACCCTAAAGATGTCTTCAGATATATTTGGTGTTTATCTTGGAGCATTTCTGTTCCACTGATGCTCTCAGGCTCTCGCCTTCCTTTTTCCCATCATTCTATTTCTGCATTCCTCTTGTTAAATCTGTTACCTTCTCCCTTACATGTTAGTATTCTCAAAGTTCCATCTTTGGCTTCCTTATCTGCTCTCACTTCATTTTCCTGAGTTATCTCCCCACTCCAAGGACTTTACCTATCAAGTACACACCAGTAGCCTTGAAATCTATACTGTTAGTCCAAGCCTCTCTCTTATCTATAGCTCAAATTTTCAAATCCTTCATATCCATCCACAGGTAGTTCAAATACCTCCCCAAAACCATCTAAACCTGACTATATACTCCCTTTTCAAATCTGCTTTTCTGAGTCCCATTTGTATTAACATTATATTATTTAATAATAGCAACATTTACTTAGGCAACAGAATAAACTCAGGTGTTACCTTTAAGTCTTCCCTCCCAATTTCCACAGCAGGTCAATGGTAAAGACCAATAATTACATTCGTAAAGTGGTTCTCCAGTCTGTGTCCTTTACATTCATGCTGCCACCACATCAATCCTTATCTGGACCAATACAAAAGCTTGGCTCCAGATGTTCCTTCTTTAAAAGTCACTGTCTAATTCCCATCCCCCAACTAACCTAACCACTACCCCCCAGAAGCCTGTTTTCATACTATTTCCCAAAATGTGAAGTCTTAGAAAAATTGACCCTCATCACCCTATTCCTATGGGAAAAGACAGAGGCTGAGCAAGGTGGAATTCTACCTAGAGTTTGAAAACCACTAAGAGTTAAAACTAATTCCCTAACATGACGCTTAACACCTGTATAAGGTCCAGCTATCTAT